CAGACACCGTGAAAATATTTTGTATTTAGGTCATTTATGACCCAAATAACTCATTTTGAATGAAATTAAAACCAAAAAAACTTTTTTTTTTGCCGATCTTAATAGCCTACCATACCTGTTGGTATGGTCGGCTAAAATATTGTTTTATCTATAATAGGTAGCTTTCTTTTCAGTGCAGAAATAGATATACAGGGTGGGCCACTGAAAACTTACAATGGCTATAATTCTTAAACCAAAAAAGATATAAAAAAACCGTTTCTATAATATGAAGTGGGAATATATATGACGTATTTTTTAAACCACGCCGACCTACCACTTAGGCGGCACCCCTACTCTCTTGAAAATCTTAAATGGCAACACCCCATTTGTGGCGCCTTGTTGGAAAGCCCATTAAAAATGCTAAACGATGATCATAAAGTTTTTAGGGTGAAATTGTAAAACTACCCCTTACACGAAAAATTAGATGGACATTAATGAAAAAAGTGATTTTGGGACCCAGCTAAATTAGTCAAATGAGGTATTTTTCAAACCACCTCGACCCACTCCTAGGTGCCACCCCCTAACTTCTAATCTCATCAATGCCATTTTGAAACCATTGCCATTTTGAAGCTAAAAATAAAAAATGTAGATGATAAAAAAGGCAACACAAAGATGTTTTACTAATCGTTCAGCCTAATTTTGCGATAACGCAAATTCTTCCTTATCATCTATTTTTTTACTTTCAACAAACAGGAATCTTAAAACGTTTTCTTAAAAAATCTTTGCGTTTTTTGCACTGTCTTCTATCGATTTTCAATCGTTTGCAAATTTGGTGTTATTTTAAACCTTTATTTGATTCGCTTATTTGAAAGAAAAATGGTTTATACTGTGGAAGAAAGAATTCAAATAGTTTTTCTTTATGGTGCTGAAGGTATGTACTATTTGGAAACGGTTATGTTACGTTTATGTTAGAGATTTGATTCTAAAGTTTCAAGAAACTGGATCCGTCAAAAATAAAAAAAGGACAGGGCCCAGAGTACTGAATGAAGAAATGCAGATGGAAGTTATTGGTCAGTTATCGGTCAATCCAGAAGCATCAACACGCCAGATCGCATCAATCACAGGTATACCTCGAACATCTGTCAGAAGAGTATTGAAAATGTACTCCTATTTGTTGAAAGTAAAAAAATAGATGATAAGGAAGAATTTGCGTTATCGCAAAATTAGGCTGAACGATTAGTAAAACATCTTTGTGTTGCCCTTTTTAATATCTACATTTTTTATTTTTAGCTTCAAAATGGCAATAATTTCAAAATGGCATTGATGAGATTAGAAGTGAGGGGGTGGCACCTAGGGGTGGGTCGGAATGGTTTGAAAAATACCTCATCTGACTAATTTAGCTGGGTCCCAAAATCACTTTTTTTATTAATGTCCACCTAATTTTTCGTGTAAGGGGTAGTTTTTCAATTTCACGCTAAAAACTTTATGATCATCGTTTAATGGGCTTTCCAAAAAGGCGCCACAAATGGGGTGTTGCTATTTAAGATTTTCAAGTGAGTAGGGGTGCCGTCTAAGGGGTAGGTCGGGGTGGTTCAAAAAATACCTCATATACATATATTCCCCCTTGATATTATAGAAACGGTTTTTTTATTTTTTTGATATCTTTTTTGGTTTAAGAATTATAGTCATTGCACTGAAAAGAAAGCTACCTATTATAGATAAAACAATATTTTAGCCGATCATACCAACAGGTATGGTAGGCTATTAACATCGGCAAAAAAAGTTTTTTTTTAATTTCACTCAAAATGAGTTATTTGGGTCATAAATGACCTAAATACAAAATATCTTCATGGTGTCGGTCTGTCTGTCTGTCTGTCATATGTATTCCCCCTCGATATTATATAAAACGGTATTTTTTATTTTTTTGATATCTTTTTTGGTTTAAAAATTATAGCCATTGTAAGTTTTCAGTGGCCCACCCTGTATTTTACAGTATATTAACTACGCCTTTGTTTTTTCTCTTACCATTTTATTTTTATTAAAAATGCTAATTTTGATTGGTTTAACGGATCATGCTGCAACACCATAAGAAGATTTATTTGAATGATAACGATTTCAACATAGCATTCCAAACTGTATTTACTTCCTTTTTTATTAAGCATATTTTTTTCTAAATTGACATATTATTTAAATGCATCCTTTCTACTTAATAGTTCTTCATCGATAATGCTGCAGACAGACGACAACCTGTCTTATCTCCCATGATGAAGTGACTTAACATTTTACAAATCCCTCGGCATGTTCGGGGTAGAGATATTCGTGATATTTCGAATATAGTTTCAAGGCCATGTCTTAGTAACACATAAGGAAACATTAAAACTTTTCTGACATTTTGAAGAACGAGAGAAAACCTTTAATTAAATTATTATGTGCAAAAACTATTTTGAAGGGAATGCTACTTCATGATTTATATTTGAGAAATCGATTAAAAATAGAATGAGCTAAAGAGTTCTAAGTTTATAATACTCTGTTACACTTAAATAAATGCTGCATAAATAGTAGTCTTGTAATAGAAACAATAACAGATGTTACAGTAATCAATGCGTTGCAAAATTTTTAATAGAATTGTTATCTGTTAAATGACTTTACTGAAGAAACAGGTGAAATATTTCAATTTTATTTCTTTCGATTTTTTAAAAAATCCACATAGGCTTGAATTTAAACAACGATTTTAACGATTATACCGGGTGCGTCTCAAAAGTGGCCCAGCCCTATAACTTTTTTATTTTTTCAGATAAAAAAAATGAGATTTGATATGTTAGTATAATATGACATAAATTAGGATTGATTGACGTATTCAATTGTTTTCTGTCACTTCTCCTGTTTCACCGGAAATGACTACAACTTTTGATTTTTAAATGGCACCCTCGGTATTTTTTTTTTACTTTATTCGATTGAATATGACATTCTAAATAGAATGACATATCATATGTTAACTTTTGACATTTTTGCTTAAAACAAAATTGAATTTTAAATTTCAATCTAGAGTGCCATGGCTGCGTTAAAAACACTAATTTTTAATCAAGGAGGCTTAGAAAAATACGTTTGATCGTCTAATATTATTCGTATCTTGTCCTGGCCGGTTAAAAGATGTCCAAATCGTATTTTTAGTCATATCTCATTTTTTTTCAAATAGAACGAGGGTGGCTCATTCGCATATTTGGAAAAAGCATTTTTTTACGAATAATTTGGTACCATACACTTCGTATTTCGAGTCAAATTGTCGTTATGAATCGCATGTTTAATTTCAAATAAACCATATTCGAAAATGTCAAAAGTTGACATATGTTATGTCATTCTATTCAGAGTATCATTTTCTATCGAATCAAACCCTCAATGTTTTGTTGGTAAAACACCGAGGGTACCATTTAAAAATCAAAAGTTGTAGTCATTTCCGGTGAAACAGAAAGTGACAGAAAACAACGGAATACGTCAATCAATCCTAATTTATGCCATATATTAATATACCAAATCTCGATTTTTTATCTGAAAAAATAAAAAAGTTATAGGGATGAGGCACTTTTGAGACGCACCCGGTATAAAAAAATATTAAAAAATATAAATAAATATTGTTTTTTGATCTCCCTGTTGCCCTGTTTGATATTCAGTGGGTTGATTTACAATGCATTTTATAACAAATGATAAAGTAGATACATAAATATCACCGGCTTTATATTTAACTGAGCGATTTAGAAATTACAATGTCACGAAGACACAGCATTATGCATATATTTTAGTGTGAGACATTTCGAAAAACTGCCAGTTCAGTTAAGTAATGGTAATGGTACCATCGCAAGCAAAGCGCAACACAAACTTGATGTAAATAAATTGTACAAAAACAGTATTGTAGTCATCTTTGCAAACTTTCTGTCACGACCTAGACTAATGTCGTAAACTGAAAAGCTTTAGTTAGGTAAAAAATAGGTAAAAAAATTTAAACTAACAATAAAACACAGCTAAACAATACAGGGTAACCCAGTCTTCCGATGAAAATGATTAAAGCAGAAAGCCAGATCTTGTCTTATATTTTCAAACAAACACAATTTTATCTTTGAAGATGAAGAATTAAAAAACGAACATTTTTTATAGTTTCGCACATACACACAATATTAATTCATATAGCTCTTTCAACGGTAAAATACAATAGAAAAATAATTGGGTGGGTTTGAAAAAAATTACTCTGGAAAATGCCATATTAGGTAAGTATTAAACCGCGAATATCTGCGAAACTTTAAAATAAGTTAAAAATGAACGTTTTGAAAAAATGTTTGTTTTTTAATTCTCCATCTATTGAAAAAATAATATACAGGGTGCTGTATTTAAAAAAAAATGAAGAAAAATTATTTTATATTTTACAAAGTTTAGCCTAGAATTTTGAACATCCTCTATGATTTACGATTACCATATTTATGACAAAGTAAGTACAGGCTATCTAAAGTAAATACCTAATATAGTTTTGATTTCAAAGACTGTTCTTGTATGTTTAATAATTGTTTATAGAAAGACTGAAAAATAGATATTTTTTATGTATTTATTAATATCTCTTAAACTATCGAATTATATTTACTCCTATCTTAGGATCATGTAAAGTGATCTGAAAGGAAACCAAAAATGCAATAATATACAGGGTATTCCATTTAATAAATCATCCCGATCCACTCACACTTTTTTGAGTCATCTTATAAAAGTTATTCCCTGAAATACATCCTCGTACATACTTTAGGTTTGCACTTAAACAAAATTCCCAAGTTTTTTTTATTCTAGGAGCTACAGATACCCGACGCACTGTTGCCGTACCCTGTATAAAAGTATTGTTTTAATTAAATACTTAATTAATTTCTTATTCACTGGATTCTTCGGATACCCATCATTAACCAAAGGCATTATCAATTTTTGTGATCGATTAAGAATATATCCCCATTAAAAATTAAATAATTTACCTTTTTTAATATTTGTTTCAGAAGAAAACTACCTAATAAAGCGGGTGAGGATGGTCACCTGTAACTGCCCTGTAACACAACCAGGGCCGACTCTAGCTGCTACATGCGGCGGAGCTCAGTTCATGCTCTTCATGGGATTGCTGGAAGTATTTTTGAGGTAATATCATTTATTTATTTTAAATTTATTGTTAGAAAATTCTAAGATCTCTTGATGATGTACCTAATTTGATTAGGCTTGCGCTAAAAAATCTTTGTTTAAATCAAAATTACAGTTGAGGGTTGGAACCTTAGGTGTTACACAGCAAAATAAAACACTAAATCACCACAATACACCAAAACACTTTTACTTTTACACTGGACGCGCGTTTCGCTAACCATGTTAGCATCATCAGCAGATGATTATAAACTGTTTATAATCATCAGCTGATGATACTATGCTATGTGTTTTATTTTGCTTAAATCAAAATGTCAGAAAAAACCGTGAAGTTTCTTTGTTCCTATCTTAAAGTTTGCATTTTTTTCTGCATCTGCGCTCTGTATCTATCATCTCGTAACATAGCCTCAAAGTTTTACTCAAAATCATAACAAGACCAACAGTAAAAAGACTTATATACCGGGTGCGTCTCAAAAGTGGCTCATTCCTGTAACTTTTATATTTTTTAGTTAAAAACCCAGATTATTTGGTATGTTAGTATATGACATAAATTACTATTGATTGACGTATTTAATTGTTTTCGGTCACTTCCTGTCTCACCAACTGTTGATTTTTAAATGACACCCTGGTCATTTTTACTTCATTCGACATAAAATGACATTCTGAATAGAATGACATATCATATGTCAACTTTCAGCATATTCGCTCAAAAACAAATTGTATTTTATTTTTCAATATAGAATGCCACGGCTGTGTTAAAAACATGATATGCCATTCTATTCAGAGTGTCATTTTCTATCGAATAAAGTAGATATATACTAAGGATGCCATTTAAAAATCAAAATTTGTAGTCATTTCTGAAACCGGAAGTGACCGAAAACCATTGAGTATGTCAATCAATCCTAATTTATGTCATATACTAACGTACCAAATCTCGTTGTTTTATCTGAAAAAATAAAAAAGTTATGATGGGTGAGCCACTTTTGAGACGCGCCCGGTATATCAATGTATATCGAAATCGAAAATTACGAACGAGATTATCAGAAACAGTAGCTTGTGTCACTTGCTGGTTCTAGAAGTAGGCTCCCGATCCTTACTAGAGGGGGTTGTATATAGCTTGTCTGCCACTTGTGGAGGCTGATCTCGCGCACTTGTTAGCCGCTGCTCCTGTTGTTTTCTTTGGGATTGGTGGGAACTTGCATTGATAAAGTTCCCAGTGTTGCCAAAGTGTCAGGGGGAATTCCCCCTAGCACCTGACTAGGTGCTTTCTCACCAACGACAAGGTCTCACATCTTAGAGGAAGTATGCTTTTTAAATATCAGTATTTTCTTTTATTCGTATAGATAAATGCAAACTGATCATAGTTTTATTTTTTTAACTTAATACTTTCAAGATTATACAAAGAATCGACATTATTTATCACAAAATTGATTTTATAATTTATAATTATAATATTGTTCTAGTATAAAGAGATTTGCATATATTGTTATAGTAATTGGATAGTTTATCTCTTTATTATAACACGTTCATTTAAGCTAAAAGATGCCATAAGAAAGATAATACCTTCCTTGCTTTTAACAATCTTTTGCTTTAAGGCTATGTAATTTGCTGAAGACTAATAATTACTGAAAATAATTGGGTTAAATGAAATTGGTTGTTAAATGAAATGTAAATACCCTAGGCACAGATAATATACTAGCTACGCAAGTTCTTTGCTATAGGGCTCTCTATATTTTGCGTATTAATATCTTGTTTTAGACCATTTGGTGGTGTTATGGTTAAATGTAATGTGTAATTTCTATATCAACCCCCCCCCCCCCCCCCCAACTACTAATAAAGTCTGGAATCATATAATTTAGATTTAAAATTTAGAATTAGAATTTAAATTGATTGAAATTAACTGTATTGCAAAAGGTATATACAGATATATTCAAAAAATTTATTTGATTTAATATTCATACTGTATGTACAGTATTAATTTTTGTGCGTATTATACTTATATTCGAGAGATTATTTTTGTATATTTTGTAATTGAAATGTTTTATTACGCATATAATTATAACTTCTAATAGTTTATTCACACGCTTTCCATAGTAAATAAAATTTTATATATTTATGGAAAATTATGATTGACGAGAGCTATTTAAACTTTAAACCTTATATCACTGGCCTAGAATAATTTTATTTTTATTGTCAATTACAATAACAATATCACTATCAGGAACATTATGAATAAACAAATACTACCGTAAATATAAGGTATGATGAAATCAAATTCAAAAATATTGGGAGATTTTTGTGTTTATTTTGGACAGTTCAAAATTTGCATGGGATATTCTATGTTTCCATCGCCGATGCACCACCCGGTATAGATTTTCTACAGAGCGTAAAAATTGGTGTACTGGACTTCAAATGGATAATGTGCTTACAGAAAAAAAAGAAGTCCCTATAAAAACAACTTCCTCAAGAAGTTACAGCCCTTGAGATGATAGATAAATAGTTATTTTTTATACAAAACGATAAAATGGTATTTTATGGTCGACCGAAAAGATTAATTTAGGAGCGATGAAATCGCGAGTGACTTAATTTCGGGAGACGATAATGCAATAATTTTATCGTCGTGTATAAAACAATTTTTTTTTCCATAGCGAGTTACGTTTTAAAAAATATTCAGAAATTATTATTTCAAGGAATTTATTACGAGTAGAAAAAATATTGTGCTGGGTTGGCGTTGGTTTCTATGTAATTTGACAAATAAATAAAGCTGTCTCTTTAGTTGTCAGTTTTGAGTCAATATTTTTTATTCTCTTTCGTGTCGATTGCTGATTGAATTGGAGCCAGAAATGGCTCAAAACGAATTAAGTAAATAACCAACAGATATTCAAGCTGAGGTGACAAACGCCATATCCAAACTACTTCCATTTAAATCCCGAATAACTTATGAAAAGGAATACAAAAATTTTCAAAAATGGAGGCAATTAAAAAACGCGCCAGAAGAAATATAGTTTTTAACCTATCCTCGCTGTTTTAATCTATCTCATTTAATCTAGTTTAGTCTTTGCGGTTAAAGTACTATTTTATCTACTATTTTTGATAGATATAAGGCAATTAGAGGATTGCTATTCTCACGTATGACAAAGCGACTGTATATGGTATAAAAAAGCTGTAATTAACCGTTTGGTTACATTTCATATATGATCTAACAATAATTTACAAGATAGGTTTACAATACTGCGATTATCAATACCATACGATTGAAAAAAAACGGCGTCAAAGATGGCTGGGGAATAAAAATCGATGATAACTTTGGTAAGGTCAAGCCCTAGAAGTCAAATACGTCAAAAATAATAATAAAGCGCATACTCTTCTTTACTTGATAATGATGCTTACTGCCAGATAGTCTTAAGAAGGTTGGAATTTATTTTTATATTGAGTAAAAATGGTTTTTACATGGTTTAGGTAGTTTAGAATTTGAGAAAAAAAAATTACAAATAGATCTGTGTTTTTAGAAACGTTCTTCTCTTATTTTTAGTAAGTGACGTTTAGAAGTTGACCGCGCCAAAATTATCATTGATAGTTATTCCCCAGCCCTCTATGACGCCGTTTTTTTCGGTCATACGGTATTAGCAGTCATAAAACTATAATTTTTTTGATAGGTAACTAATAGGATCTAAAAATGATCTAAAAATTTACAAGAGATGTTCTAAAGGATCACTAATACCACTGTTCAACACTTATTATTCCCGTAAATTTTCTCATTTCATTGCAATCAGTTGCCCGATATGCATTTGATCAGCAAATATTACCGAATATGCCGTATGATCGAAAAAAAGGCGTCCAGGGCTTGGAAATGAACATCGATGACATTCCCCATATAATTTTACACATAAAATAAATAAATAAATAAATAAATGCCTTTATTGTCAAAAATTTTACAAATTGTAGACAAAGATAAAAAAGTAAACAAACAAAAGAGAATACAAAACAACTAGGTATACAAATTACATTGTCAGTCTTATTGTTTAAAATAAACATTTATAAATGTTTACAATATCAAAAAATAAAAAAAATAAAACTAAGATTCAAAAATATTTTGAAAGTTTATAGTAAATATAAATATAGTAAATATAGTAATAACAAATATTAGACCAGTGTTTACAAGATCAAATTCGATTATCAAAATATAAGTCATTTACGGCGTAGAAAGCCTTGTCTAGTAAATAAGATTTCAATGCCTTGCGAAATGAAGAAAATGAAGTTATGGATTTGATTTCAAGTGGAGTAGGTATAATAAATAAAGATCTTGCTCCGCGTTCCTTAGTGGATAAGTGTGAGATGGCCTTTCTTGAAAAACTGATACATGCTTACGTATTAGGCAAACGAATTCAAATATAAATAAGGAAGGAAGAGTTAATATTTTTAATTTTTAAAAAAAATCTTGGCAATGAGTTTTGTTTAGTCCCAGTGAATATCGAACAACTCTCTTCTGGAGTTTGAAAATGCGGTCAAATTGAGTCGCACAACACGCACCCTAGAATGGAAGGGCATATCTGAGGTGCGACTCAAAACGTTCATAATAAACAGTTCTAGCCACCGACAACAGGCAGAGATCAATTTTTTCGACAAAGCGTCGATATGCATGTCCCATTTTAGAGAATTGTCTACAAGAAATGGCCAAATGACAGCGATCTTCATTTTATAGACATCGCTGACGCCGTTTTTTTTTGATCATACTAATGATGAATGGTACTAATGATTTAAACTGCTTATAAAAGAGTATTTTCTTTTATTTTTCATTTAAAGTGAATTAATATTTACAGTTGATGATTTTGAACCTTTTTTGTAATATATTGTAATTTTTGGTTATTGAGTTTTTAGGTTCTATTTCTTTTAATTAAAACAAATTAATTATTGACGTATTGTCAAAAAAAGTCGCCTTGACTAGGATTAGAGGACTTGAAAGATTCTATGTAAAATTCTTACTTAAAAGATAATGATTATTGAAAGTACTTTTTTGTTTTTAAACATTTATTTAATTCTGTTTTTAGTATTTGTTCTTATAGCGGCAACATAGATACATTATCTGTAAAAAAATCAACTCTCTAGCTATAATTAACGGTTCATAAGATAGAGCTTTGTGACAGACGGACAGACGGACGGACAGCGAAGTCTTAGTAATAGGGTTCCTGTTTTTACGCTGTGGGTACGGAACCCTAATAACCAATAACCTAAAATTACTTAATATTTATATTTGGCGATTCCTGATTTTATGATATTATTTTTTTTTTTCAGATCACAATGCGACTTGGAAGATCCTTGTGGGCGCCCCGAAGCCACTCCGGTCCTGCCAGAGTACGACTTTATTGTCGTTGGGGCAGGTAGCGCGGGAGCGGTTGTTGCCAGCAGGTTATCTGAAATACCGGAATGGAATATTTTATTGATTGAAGCAGGTAAGAACTAGCCAGTGACGTAGCAAGAATAAAAACGATGACAAATATTTCTTCAATCCATGTGCGAAAGATTTCAAAATCCAGTAAAAGCATCCTTCAGGTCTAATATAAAAAGATTTAAAATTGAGCAGGTTAATCACAAGTATACGATTAAAAGATCGCGCACACTATACCTACACGGACCAGTACGGACCAGCACAGCACAAACCTGCATCCTGCATGACGTCGCACACTTTACCGCCACAGACCAGCAACATAAACGAGAGTTTCGAAAAAAGTACAGTTGTCAAGGCTCAACTACTAGAGCGTGCAACATAGAAGTATTGAAAACGAGTAGTTCAGAGGAAGAAATTATTATTTTAGCCATGTTGTGTGAAAAAAGACGAGGAAGCTAAGAAAAAAAGAAGATTTTGGATTCACTATATAAATCAAAAGAGAAAGCAATATGGCGAATTTCATCATTTGTTTCCTGAATTAAAAAGATTCGAAGAAAAGTTTTTCCAATATTTTCGAATGTCACAAATCAAATTTGATTAGTTATTTTTTGCTATCTACTCCCATATTGCATCTTTTCTTTCTTGGTCTCTATAAAATGCGTGGCTCGTATCCCACAGCTCTGGATACTTTTGTACCAGTAAAATAAGCTTTTCTTCATTCATATTTAAAACGATTTGAAGGTTCGAACAAAAATAAACGAAATCTAACCTACATCATGCGACTTGAGCCAGCTAGCGTACTCGAAATACTGACAAACCCTTCAATATTTGCATGTTTGTGGAGGTGTGCTGGTTCGCCGGTGCGCACATTAGGTCGGACCAGCACGACCAGGCATAAATATTGCTGGTCATATTTGTCGCTGACCGACACGACCTGTTTTGACGGTCGTGGCTTGTGGCGGTACGTGCTGGTGCTGGTCTAGTGTGCTCTACTCTATTAAATAACACGGTCACCTTCACCGGTAGATTCTACTGGTCTGGTCCGCGCCGGTCCGTGTAGGTATGGTGTGCGCAATCTTTAATGCGAACTACATACGTCCAAATTAGTTGACCCTTTAGTTGGGCCATGGAAATTGGATATTGCTTATGCACTACCATAACGTCAACAAGCACTACCATAACGACAGGAACAAGAATAGGAGTACTAATAAATAAAGAATACGTAAAGTTACTGTTTTTATGGAATAGACTTTAAAGCTATAATGAATAAAATCGTATTCACTTTTTTTAATTTTTCCCAATATAAAGTTTATACTAGGGTCGGCATTTCTGATCTTGGGCGCCGATTTTCGTGTGTACGAAGAGTACGGTCAACACGCTTAGTAAAATAAGATGTACTAGATAAAGACTGAAGGCAAGTATTTTCCCAAACGCATGGAATCTAATAGCGTCAGATTAAGTGGTTATGTAATAAATACATCGTTTCTTTGCCCTCCCCGACTTACTAGATTGCCATAGCGATTCACTCCTATTCATGTAAACGCCGATCCAAGGTTTCGCTTGCCAGCAGGGTATATGTTAACTCAGTGTCTATTTTGAGCCTCTAAGAGATATACGTTTTTACTTTGTAAACCTAACTCATTTATTAAAAGGGCAACGGCCCAGCTACGTCGAAACACCGGTTCCCATTAGAACACCGAAGTTAAGCGACGTAAGGCGATACTAGTGACCGGTACTAGTGATAGGTGACCGGTTCGAAACTCTGTATCGTGCTGTTGTCCAATAAAGGCAAAAGTGTAAAATCTATTGACACACACTGCTCATTCACGCCGGTTCGAGGCCGGATGAGATCGGATATCTCGTGAGTAAGAGTCGATTTAGACACTTGCTAAGTCGGTAGGCCATTGATCATGATATAGCCGAGGACCGCGGTTCGGATTCCGCGTAAACAAAGTAGGCCCCATCCAGATCAGCCAAAAACGTTAACTTCAAATCTTTACTTTTCTTTCATTTATTAAAAAGTGTAAATTATTTTAGTTGATCCAGTTATAAAAATACATTCTACGCCTATGAACCTACGCCTTTTCTAACCCTTTTTTGGTTATCCCAGATAAAACTTGTAGGTTGGGTTTTACATAGGCACCACTTTTTATGATTATCTTACAAATCCTTTAGGGTCTCCATAAAAAAAGGATCTTTTACCCAAAAAAAAAGCATTAAAACGAAAGTAAGGTAAAGAAAGATATGTATTTTAATGGGGACCTAAAAATAGGTTCGAATGAAGAGACTTATTGTTCTATCTATAATACCTATTGGTAAATAATCTTTGTATGAAATTTTCATGAACTATATAATTTTATGTAAGATATGTAAAAAACAGAGAATAAACTAATTTAATAATTTTACGTTAAATTATAATTTTACGTTATTTCTTTTTTAAAAAATACGAGTTTATTTTTTCAGTTTCGGGTTTTACTATGAAGATATTTGGACAACTTTTTCAAATACAGTTCATCGAAATTTGTCCAGAAAATCCATTTTTAGTCATTTGCTACTTTAAATGTCAATTTAACAGATAGCCGAGGGCACATAACAGAGTAAATGTTCTTATGTCACTTTTGATCTAAATCAAAGTAGAAACTATGGCCCAAGTCAAATTTCACCTAAACCGATAAATAAAAAAAAGCTCTATATGATGCGAACTTTATCTGTGAAACTGTATTATGGTAAAAAATCCTATATGGGTATTTCGCCACTGCAAGAAAATCTACAAAATAAAATAGTTATTTTTTGTAAACACTTCTGCGTTAATCCAAACGGAAACTACTTTTCCTTAGATGGAACACAGCTCCAACATTTTTATTATTTATAAGATTTTTTTTCATAAACGTGGGACTAAGAACATCATCATTTAGTACAATGAGAGTACTCATCATTTGTGTCAAATAAACCTAGTTTGAATAAATTGCCTACAATAAAAGAGAAGTTTTGCATTTTTGTCCTCTAGAGTCATATGTTCGAAGCTCTGTGCGACGGAAAGAGATAAACTTTCCGAAACGTTAAGCATTTTTTTGTTCGTTAGCAAACTTGTATATCTGTAAACCTAACTTCTGACAAGTAGTACCCGTTTGGATTAACACAGAAGTGTTTACAAAAAATAACTATTTTATTTTGTAGATTTTCTTGCAGTGGCGAAATACCTAATATAGGATTTTTTGGCGAGATGAATCCGCCACATAGATATACATTTCACTAATATAATATAAATTTTAAGGAAATGATGAACCAACTGGAACACAAGTACCGTCTATGTTTCTGAATTTCATCGGTTCTGACATCGACTGGGGTTACCAAACGGAACCTGAACAACAAGCTTGCCTGGCTGAAAATGAACAAAGATGTTACTGGCCTCGAGGAAAGGTAATAACTGCATGCTACCTGTAATCAATCTGCAAGATTTTATTTTCTGTTCAGTATTCGTTTTAAAGCAATTTTTCCAAATTGACAAAAGTGTTTAAAATAGTGTATTTATTTCCCTAAAACATTTAAAAAACACTAATTTTCGATATTCGATATTTTCTTATCTAGCACGCAAATGAACCGCTATAATTTTGTGGTTGTTAAATGACGATTTGTCTATTACGTCTTCATAAGGATTCGTCTTTGTCATTAGTTCTAAAAAGTTTGCATTAAAATACATCTAAATAGTGTTTATGGCGTTTTAAGTGTCTGGTTATTAGACTATTTTATGTTTAGATTCTATTCTTTATAGTTGCAGTTCAATTTATAATTTACCAATTTACGATTTTGAAACAGTCCATAGCAAATGCCAAAGAAAATTAGACGCCCGTCATAAACGTTTATATTTTATTATTACCAAACAGAAAATAACTTTATTGTTAGATGACACCACATCTATTAATTATTGCTATTCTATTGTTAGTTACTTAGCTGTTAGATATTACTAGTAAATAATCACTATTTTTAATTATTGTCGATTTTATAATGTTTATAAAATAATTTTTTAATTAAAATGTTAGGTATTAATCAGTATAAAATTTGCGGCCTCTACAAAGATGTGTTTTAAACACGAACTACTTTTATGTACCTAAATTTAGTTGATAGATAATTTGAAAATATTGAGTGAGTTATATTTTTCACATTTATGACTACTGTGTCGTCTTAAATAATACAATAATTATTATATATAGTACATACCAAATAAACTTTGTCACATGATTAAGCTGGACCGGTAACCGTTGCCCACTTTTATATATTTTCTTTTAATCAAAATATTTTAGGAAACAAAAATGAATTAATAACAAATATATAAACAGTTATGATTTACGTCAACAAAACTCACCTTCAACGTATTTGAATAAAGTTACGATGAGTTTTTTACAGTTATTAAGCTATCTTGTACACTAAAAGAGGTTCTAAAAAAAAGTTCGACTGCAAGGTCTGCTAGTAAACATTTTCAAGCTTAAAGTATTACAAAACTATTTATTTAAACATTTGAATAAAAAGATTAAGAAAGGAGTATAATGTATCTATCCATGTATTCATGCATAGTGGGCGGAAAAAGGACTCTAGGGTGGGGATCCTTGACACCTCTGTTTGACGATTCATTTGACACCTTTGAATTTGATTTGAAATTGTGTGGATTTGACAGTCTTTATTGAGCTTATTTTATGTTATTTATTATTTATTCTACAACTGATACTTATATAAAGATAGAAAATCTAGATGGAAATTGGGCAGAACTTAAATTAACAGTGACACTATTGCGATTTATCGAAAAAGACTGTAAAATTGTTGATTGTGTAGCGTGCGGTAGATCTCGGTCAAAAATCGAGTGAAATAATGGAATAACTTTTCGCTAGTAATGTACAATATACATATATAGTGTGACCAACGGATCTGTAGCTACGGGCTATCGGCAAGGGAACGCAGTTGTAAACAAAACACGCCCAATTTCATTCATAAGATAGGCATGGGCGTACGGTGTTATATGAAAATAATGTCTATCATAAATATAATACTCAGATTAATAATTTTTTTCAAAAAACATTATGCTGTTTGAATCGTTACTGTTGAGTTAGCAGATAAACACTAAAAAGCTTTCATTAAAGCTCCCTTAAATATTTTGAATCATTTTATTATTGTGTTGTTAATATAATAGAAGAAATAATTACAGCTGAGTTGGAACTTTGGTGTTACACAGCAAAATAAAACACTAAATTAGTAATAATACACCAAAACACTTTTACTTTTACACTGGACGCACGTTTCGCTAACCATGTCTGCCATCAGCAGATGATCAAGACTGAGTCTTGAGGTATATTTATTTATATATCTGTACTAACTATATTTTTTTCTATAATACATAATTTTAGATATAACTATTTCCAGCAAAAAAAAATCTTGAAAATAGTTAACTTTGGAAGCGCAAACAAAACATAATTTTACTCATCAGTAGATCTGATATTGCCTATTACACCAGATATGGTATCGCTCCGCCAGCAGTTTTTAAAGGTTAGGTCATTGTCTACCCATATGTTACATCCAAATAGATAATACTTGGCTATATTTTCGAATTTCGCGTATATATATTTATATCTCTCTCTGCAATATAATGGGCCGCTCCATTAATATTTATCTGTTATTTTAACATTTACGCCAAAAAAATTCATTTGATTTTAATAACCCCCTAAGCGTTTCCCTGCAAAAGGAAAATTCGATTCTTCCTGCAATTTTTGCAAAAGCTTTCTAATTGTGGGGACGAGTTTGAATTCGAGATAAAATCTATTTATCAAATTCCTGACCACTTCGAAAAAGTCGTTGAGCTTTTCGACAGCAGTCTCACGTGGTCGTTTCTTTCCAGAGAGGATATCATTTTATCGGGGTTAGTTTTCAGCCTTTTTTTTATCTTCTGTGTGAATTTTTTTATAGCCGATACGCTAACTCCGGTATAAAGAAATATCCGCTCAAGTTTACGTTTAAGCGGCAACTCAAGCGAACTCTCTGTAGCTTCTTCATCGCAAACCCTATTATGAACACAAGGAAATACACCAAATGAGATTTCATCCACGTTATTATTAACTTACCTATATAAATTAGCTATTATTTCTCTTGTCTGACTATGTAGCGTCTTACCCTTAACAAATTTATTCGTTTTAAAACACAAATATACGATCAAACTTGATATTAATAATTAAAAACTACGAACGAAAAACATTATAACAAGATAACAAAACAATAAAACACAACTTAACTATCAAATAACGAAAAATATGAATAAAGTTTAGACAACCTGCATATAAAATAATGAAATAAAGTAATAATGATCAAAAAAATTACACCGCCACTGGATATTTCAATAGTATTCAATATTCCTACTCTTTTCAGAAGAGACCGTGAAGTTGGGGATAAAGCAAGCGAATAGGAAAGGCGTAAAAGCCATGGCAACCGCGTGGTAACAAATCCTGTGACGTACTCTCGCCAATCATGTTCGATGAGTAGGCGGCCATGCGCGGCGATGCCGGTTTGCCAATGATATCGTTGAAAAATCTTCAACTTTCATAATAAGCAGATTATACAAAATAAAAGAAATAAGTTATTAAATAAAACATATCGAACAATATGAACTACGTTGAAATTCCTTAGTAATATACGTCAGAATATATGCTAAACACATTATATATAATAAAAATATATTAAATTTATAGTTTATGTCTGGCAATTTTGCAAATTTAAAGATAAACGTGGCAATATCGATTTTTTTTTCTCGCATTACTTCCGTAGCTTCAGATCCGCTGGTTAAACTAGTAGGTGTTGTAGTAAACCGATCATTTATGAAATTCACTTAAATTAACTAATTATTATTTTTTCTTACATTTTTGCTTTTGTTTACTACTTGTCAAAGATTAGATGTCAAAGAATTTAGAAACGTCAATTTGACTTACCTGCTTTAGTAGCGTATCGGCTGTTTGTGTTAATAAATAATTATTATAACTTATCTATTTTTATTACAATTATATATTTTGATAACAATTTTAATAACTACCATCATTTATTCACAACGTAAAATAAAACAACAATTTATTGAGTCTACCCCACGTCTGCCCTACATCATAGTTTTACACTTTTTAAAACAAATTAGAACGGCACTGATAAACCGGAATATAAGTCGGCCATATTTGAGTCCCATCGCGGTGGATCTAAATTTTTGATAAATATATGCTCCTTCCTTAATATTTTTATTCAAAGATTTAACCAAAAAATCGTAATACAAAACAAAAGCGTCAAAACGAATGACAATGTCAGGAAATAAATAGATAAATAACACTTGACATTTTCTACAGTCGAGCTGCCACCTGAATCCCCAGCCCGATATTTAAATTCCAGTTAGTCAGACCGGCGCCGAATATGTCCATGGTTGGCAACAATGAAATTAAAAATCACGCACTCGATTACGTAACAAAAAGTTTAATTGACTGAATTGACATAATAGAAATTATTTTATGACCAATAATAACACCTTAAGAGGAAGGTGTCATATAAAAATTAAAATTAAATTTATTAAAATATAAAATAATCAATTAGAAAAATGATTTACTAATTAACATAACAGAAAACGTAATAAGTAAATAAGTAGTGTGAATTCTCGCACTTTCTACTTCAATAATAAGGCAATTGTTAAGAGTCTGTAGATGTTAGGTAATGTCATTTATATATAGTATTCTTTTATATTTACAGTACTATTGAATAAGTGTGCTTTGAAAACTTATGCGTTTCAAACTGATCCTATGAAATTAATAAATAAAGGTTATCTTGGATCTAGTTAGGACAAGGTTAGGACCTACAGCATAATATTATCATCACATCTTGTAAATGCATAAGCTATATGATTATTCTATGCATCCCAAGTTATTCCAATTTAATAAGCACATCAAGAAATAAAAGTACAATGCAAGAACAACAACACGAAAAATTTCTGTAAAAAACATCTAATTTTTAAAAGAAATCCCTTTTTTTTTAAAAAAAAATTCTGTTGAACTTTTGGCACAAAAACATTTCAAATTTATGATTTCAGTCTAATAACTACTTAGTCGACATGTTTAATTTATGTCAATTATGATAGGTATTGATAATTTCGATTCCAAATATCTCGAGAACCATTAAGCTTAATTTTCATGCATCCGATAAGTTGATACGATGGTCCGACGGTGCTCTGATTGGTCATAGTGTTTTTGCGCCGCTTTTCATCCGTAAATATTTTACTTCAGCCCGTCAACGGACCCGTTCATACGATAACGGACGTTTTGACACTTTTTTGACAAATTTAATCTAACCTTAATAAATAGCAAAATCGATATGGAAACGAAAATATAAAATAACACCAACGTACAGGGTGGGTCAAATTCGACGCTTTTAAATGGAAACACCCTTTCCTATAGGAGATAGACAAAAACTAATATCGGTGTTTGGAGCTCAATTTTTGTCAAAAACATGATGGTGAAAACCACATATCGATATCTGTTACCGTTTCGGAGTTACGGGGTGTTTTTCAAAAATATGCATTTTTAACAAATCGCTGTAACTTTTTTGCTATGGAAAATTTTGTATTTTTATGAAAACATTTCCAAAGCACCTTTTTACGTAGAATTTAATGGTTTAAGTATAATTTTTTTAAAATTAATAATATAAGAATTATCAACAGAAAATTTGATATTTTATATGGGACACCCTGTATATTTTTAATTTATTGAAAAGAATTTAAAATTACCTTTCCAAAAATATAACACACTTGATATTTTGCTCGATTCCTCTTCGAGATATAGAGTATATAAAAATTCGCCCGGCTTTAAATAAGTAGGCTTTGAACGGCACCGGCTGTAATGTAAAAAAACTGTAGCTGTGAGAATCAATTAAAACGAAAATAATATTTGCTATGAGAGATGCAGAATTTTATTACAATTTAAAATATATTTAACCAACATCAACACATTTAAACTATATTTAATAACAATAAAAATAAATAGCAAACCAAGACGAGATTTTGCTACAGGTGTTCAACATATCAACCGACTTCTGTTATGGACAGACGGGGCAGTTTTTGAACATTTCTCGCGGAATTCATTAACTCAGTGGGGGTGAAAGATACCCTCTCATAACTGCTAAGTATTTCTAATTCTTGTCTAGATTATACGGAAGAATAAGGAACCGCAAATATATCCATAGGATTAGATCCATGGGCACTAAGTTAGGCGGCCTCGATGGCCAACGGCTGGGATCTTCTGGGATCGGTTAGCTATTCAATTATTCTTGAAATGAAATTGGCTGCAAAAATTTGCTGATAACTTCAGCGTTCAGAGGTGGTGCGTCGTCTTGCTGGAAAAATATGTTTTCGAGTTCCATTAAGGGCATATCATCAATAAGGGGTCCAAAGCCTACTAGTTAAAAGTGGCGAACTTTTAAAAATTCTGTATTTCGAAGGGGATTATAACAAAATATCAAGTGTGCTATATTTTTGGAAAGGTAATTTTAAATTCTTTTCAGTTAAATAAAAATATAGAGGGTGTTCCAAATAAAAAATCTATTTTTCTGTTGATAACTCTTAAATTATTAATTTTAAAAAATTATACTTAAAACCATTAAACTCTACGTAAAAGGTGCTTTGGAAATGTTTTCATAGAAATACAAAATTTTCCATAGTAAAAAAGTTACAGCGATTTGTTAAAAATGCACATTTTTGAAAAACACCCCGTAACTCCTAAACGGTAACAGATATTGGTGTGCGGTTTTCACCATAATGTTTTTGATGAAAATTGAGCTCCAGACACCGATATTAGTTTTCGTCTATCTCCTATAGAAAAGGGTGTTTCTATTTAAAAGCGTCGAATTTGACCCACCCTGTACATATATCCTATAAAGAGAGGTAAAACGATAAACGATAAACCAATTAAAACATATGTAGGTGGTGCCCCCTACAAATAAGAGTCATAATGACATCAAAATCAAATTTCTCATGTCAAAAAACTCTAAAAAAACTAACCAATTTTCATCGAAATATTAATGTTACTTCAGGAATTATTTGGAAAAAATCGAAATAAAAATGAAACTTCTACACCCTGTATCTCCGAAACTAAGCATTTTAGGACATACATTTATATGAACTTTTTTACTTATTTTTATCTGCAGAATATGCTGCCGAAATTTCCGGAATACAATTCGGACCCCCTGTATAAATTTTTAAAAAGATGCGATAATTGTTTTAAGTAGTTTATTACTAATTGTAGTTCTTCAATAATATAGGTTATGGGAGGTACATCAGTTATGAATGGAATGATGTATATACGTGGTTCACGCAAAGACTATGATGACTGGGCTGCAGCTGGAAACGACGGTTGGAGTTACAACGAAGTGTTGCCGTATTTCCTAAAGAGCGAGGATAACAAGCAAGTTGACAAAATGGATCGGGGATACCATGCCGAAGGAGGCTTATTGCAGGTGTCACAGTTCCCGTATCATCCACCATTATCCAGGGCTATAATTAAAGCCGCTGAAGAATTAGGTAGGTAACCTTTAGGAATCATCCTGATTCAATATACATACTATAGTCATTTATTAGCCGACCATACCAACAGGTATGGTAGGCTATTAAGATCGGCAAAAAAAAAGTTTTTTTTAATTTCACTCAAAATTAGTTATTTGGGTCATAAATGACCTAAATACAAAATATTTTCATGGTGTCTGTCTGTCCGTCTGTAACACGCGATAACTCAAAAACCGCTAACCAGATTCTAACCAAATTTGGCACAAAAATACTGTGGCACCCGAGAATCTGGCCATTAGTTTTTGGTGAGGGTGGGGGTTGGTAAGGGGGTATGGGAGGGGGTAAAAATTTTAAAAAATGGTAACTCCAAAATTACAGTAGCTAGCGAAACGCTGTTTTCAATTTAAGATTAGGAATAATATTTGCAACAAAATTTGTAATAACATCAAAATCAGTTAAAGTCCCAGTTTTTGAGATATTCCATGTTTCCTTGACCGGTTTTTGAGAAAATCCGTGTGGAGAACTCCAAACTCCCATCAGACGCGACCCCAGGTGACGGATAGGGAAAATAACCGCGGACCAAAATTGGAAAAATGAAAAAAAAATAAAAGAACTGCCTACCAACTTTTTATTAACATATTTTAGTATGGGCGGCTGTACGTGCCTCCCGGCACCAATTTTTTTTAACTATGACTGTGTTTTTTTTGTATCTTTCACGGCGCCCAATACTTTTAGTTTTACAACAACACGCTGATTTGTTTGTTAAAAAGCAATAAAATTAAAAAAAAAATCCGTGCTATTTAAATGGGACATAGAAAATCAGGATGAAACCTCTTAGTAATAATACTAAGAATTCAAACTACCAGAATTTTTTTTCCATCATCGTGAACGATATTGTTCGTATTTTTGGTAACTAAAATAAAAAAAATATTATTTTTTCTTGTGCACCCTATTATACAGGGTGCTACAAATACGAGGTGCGAGCATTGGTATCTCGGAAACCGTAATAGATACGAAGATGGTTAAATTGGGGCAAAGTTGCCTCCTTGGGATGTTCGCCAAGATACCATCAAAAAAATTTTAAAAATTTCAAGGATCGCTGAGTTTTTTGGAAAAAAAGGTATTTTTTTTAGAAAATCAATTATATATTTTCCTGTATTACTTTTTAGAAAATTTAAAAACTAATTACACATTCTCATATCCATTTTATGAGGGGCATTTGATAGTATTTTTAGATTTTCAAATTAGCTGATAATTTGTGAGGCACAGGGGCCAACTTAGTTTTTTAAATACTTCTAGGAGTACGAAATTTTGCACATCCCTAAGTGACGAAAGTGGATACTCGATTTTTGGAAATTTATCCCCTATGGGGGTAAAGTTAGGGGTTAAAGTTTATACAAAAATTTGTTAAAATCCCTTAAAACTTATGACATTTTGTACTGAGGAGCGATTTCTGAAAATTCACACCATAAGGGGGTAAAACTGGTGGTAAAATGTATATATTTTTTTAAAATTAGTCCTAGGGGTATGATATTTTGTATACAGGAGATTTTTTTTGAAAACTCACCTCCTAAGAGAGTGAAATAAGGGGTGAAAATTTGTTAAATGGGTTTTAGAAGTATGAAATTTTACGTAGAAGTTCCTTAGGTAAGTTAATTGAGCACTAAGGAGCGATTTTTAGAAATTCGCCTTTTAAGGGTGTGAGATGAGAGGTGAATGTCCAGAACAAATCTTTTTTATGTGTATGTATGAAAATTTGCATAGAATATTGTGCCCTTAAGTGATGACAGTAAGTGCTCAGAAACGATTTTTAAAATTCATCACCTAAGAGGGTGAAATTAGGAGTTAAATTTTGTACCAGTGAACTTTTGAATATTTGTACAAAAAATTGTAATGGTTCTATGAGTATTAAATTAACACACAGAGGTTCATTAAATGAAAAACGTGGGTACTAAGAATCTATTTTTAAAAATATGTCCCATAAGCAGGTAAAATTAGACACACAGGTTGACAGCAATTGACAGAATTCACAGCAGTACCAAAATCAGTAAAAAGTAATCATAGCAATCAAAGAAACAAATATTAGAAATGATTATTTAGTACTCGAGTAACGATTAGTAACGAGTAAACAAAAGTAACGAATATCAACATCACAAATAATAAAAGTTAAAATAATTTTTTTCCTCTTGTAAAGACAATCCGGGGACATACTGTAGATAATAGAATTAGCGTTTAAAATTTAATAATTATATAAATATGCACCTACATTTAGCCCGTATAATTTCACATTTTCCAACTAGAATAAAATAGAATGTAGTCAAAACTTAAAATGAATGGATACAATTCAATAAATAATAAAATATATTTAAAATGGGATACAATACGAGCAATATATTAAATGATTCTTTTCCATTTCTCTTAATTGTGACAAAGTGCTCGTATTACAAGTTACCCCGCGTTTTATTATATCCGCGACACGTTGTATTACCTACTTTAAAACTAGTTCACGTATCTGGTAAAATATATTGAACCTGTCTCTCTATCATACCATAAAAGCATATATACCTTTACGAAATTCTATACCGTTATTAGCTATAAATTAAATTTCGTGATATTGTTTTTTAATTTGAATCGATATGGGTAGGTACCTCAATGGTAGTCGAAAAACGAAATATTAATGCTAGGTATAAATTATATATAATGATTATTATTATCATACATTCAATAATGTCTAAAATATATCTACATTTTTGTGTCTATATTTATTTGCATTGATTTTTAATATTCTACTGAAATTACGTTGTATTTTATAAACATAATTCTTGTGAGACGGAAGGTTTTTTATTCCTGAAAAAATAAATATACCTTTAAAATAACGTAATTTGACGCAAATTAAAACCACTAATAGTTTTGATTCTAGTGCATTTTTAAATATTATGGAGTTTATCCTCAATATTATTTAGGTTTGTTGTACTCTTAGTTTTTTATATGAACCTCAAACTGTCACATCCAAACAAAAATATTTTATCGAGATGAAACTAAATTGCAAATATAGATTTTTGAAATTAATATAAGCGTGTAGGAATATTGGTTCAATTCTTCTTGGACCGGTGAACGTTACTTACGCCTTTTAGAGAACCGTTTTCAACACCTTTTATGGACAAGAAAATTTAAACTTTCAGATAGGCGCTTCAACAGCGTGCATGGTGCCAGTATGACTTACAGTCAAAACTGTGTAGTGGGTATACTAACAGGACATTGTAAGCTGAATAGGCATCTAAAGCTGATGGGACTGACAGACGAACCTATGTGCAGTTGTGTAGGTTCAGCCAGTCTGAAGATGAAACAACAGAAGGCATTTTGTGGTCAAAATGTGCGGTTCTCGGTAATAGGCAATGATAGGCCATTGCCAAGGAGCTACATGGAGGGTTCAGTCTCCAGTTTTGTGAAAATAATAGGGGATAGACAATGTAATCTAAGGATCAGAAGAGAACCACCATAGATCTGAGAAGGTCGCAGTGGATCAGGCCGAGAGCCACCTCTAGGAATCTAATCGGAAGCTACGTTGACACGGGTAGTGAAGCACGATCGTGGTCTACACTTTCGTGGACCACGCCTCATGTCAACAGTGGATTCGTGAAAGAAGAATAGCACCAAACGAATACGAAAGACGCCACGATCGTGAATAAGCAAATCAAACTTGTTCGATAGTGAATAAGAAATTGCAGAGGAAGTTGAGGTAAAAAAGGCATATTTTGCACTATTCTCGCATTAGAAAGTATTGATTGACTTCCGATTATAATCTTTGTTGCAAAAAAAAGTTCGAATGTTTAATTGTTACATTTTTTTTAATATAAATTTAATTTTTATATACAGTAATGACTCGCAAGTAAATTAGAAATGTCCGATGAAAAGACGTAAAATAGTAAATATTGGCAACTCTGTGAAGAGATATTGACATGAATATCACAAATAATTATTTTCACTCGTCTTTTAATGTTGTAATATTAGTGTACAACCTTCCACGAAAGGATCTTTATAGAAGACTGGCACGTTTGCCATGTAAACAGCCTACGATCGCTGGACGATTTTCGTATTTCACGAAACTCTAGCTTTAAATCCAGTACGACTGTCCCTATGACGCTTGCCTCAAAATAAAAATAAAATAAAATTATTTATATTATAATCGTGCAACCTCAGCATATATCCTCAAAACTGTTTACAGCAACGTTTAAAGCAATATTTCAACTGGACTGGATCAACAAAGGATAAAAATAGATGGAGAATATCTTAACTATCTAAGATTCGCTGATGTCAAGAGTCCTGATTGCCAATGGCCATGAGGACCTACAAGCACAAATTAATGAACTAAATACAGCCAATAGAGTTGATCTTAAAATGAATTTAGCAAAAACTAAAGTAAGGTACAACGAAATAGTGGAAAGAAAAGATATTCTAATAAATAACACAACACTGGAAATAGTAGAAGAATATATATATTTGGGACAACTAATACACAGCTCGGGATCTCTACTAGCAGAAATCAACAGAAGAATTGAGTTAGCATGAAGTAATTATGGATGAAATTCAATCATATTCAAATCTAGATAACCACTCTATCTAAAGAAGAAAACATTCGACCAATGTGTACTACCAGTCATGACAGATACATGCGAAACCTTGACACTTAAAACAGACATCATAAGGAAACTGAAGATCGCCCAACGCTCAATAGAACGAAATATGCTAGGAATAATCAACAGAGACCGTAAAAGAATAGAACGGATACAACAAAAGACCCAGGCAATAGATATCATCCACAGAGTCCAATCCCTCAAGTGGTAATGGGCAGGACACCTGGCCAGGTTTGGTTTTAGTCAAAAATGCAATAATATACAGGTTCTATTTAAAAAAATCATCCCGATCCACTCACACTTTTTTGAGCCACCCTATAGGTGTTAAACTATTTTTCTGAAATACATTTGATAGTACATAATTTATGTTTCGCACTTAAATAAAATTCCCAAGTTATTTATTCTAGGAGCTACAGATGCCCGACGCACTATTGCTGGATCCTTACAATACAGGGTGGCGCCTCTCATACGCCGCGGAAGATCCAAGGAGAACGACAGTTTGTATTGAAATGAAATTTTGTGAGCATATGTAGGTTAATTCAGAGCACTTTTTAAAAATATAGAGAGTTCTACAGGCTGTCCCCAAAAAAATGTTACATATCAAATTTGTGTTTTTTATAATGGAACACCCTATATATTAATTGATTTTTGGATTCTGGGAGAAAAATAAAGGTGAGTTTTATAAGAGAAGTGTATGACTGAAATGTAAGGTTTTTGACATATTTAACATTTTCTAGAAATAAAGAACAATTTTTAAATTACATTAAAAGCTACCAAAATTGGAATTTACCCGGTATAGCCTAATATGTAGTTACATTATCTATTGTAATTTACTTCAAATTAAAACATCCAAAAAGTTATATAGGGTGAGACAAAATTAAAATTGGACATTGGTCACCTTTAAAAGCAGGTTACTCTTTTATTTTAAATGGAACACCCATTATATTATTCCGATATTTAATGGAGAATTCATATGTCTCTTCAAAATACTATTGAGGTTGCCTACCCCTAAAATTTTGGTAGCTGATATCGAAATTTAAAATTTACTCTTCATTTTCACAAAATCTGAAATATGTCAAAATCCTTAAATTTTAGGTTGTGATTCGGTATGCTTCTTTAATAAAACTCATATTTAATTTTTTCCTAGAATACGAAAATCAGTTAATATATAGGGTGTTCCATTAGAAAAAACACAACATTGATGTGTAACTTTTTTTGGGGACAACAAGTATAATTCTATATATTTTTATAAAATGGGGGCTTTCAGTTAATCTATATATGCTGCCAAAATTTCAGTTCGATATAAACTACCGTTCTCCTTGGAGCTTCTGCGGCGTATGAGAGGCGCCACCCTGTATAACAATGGACACAAATAATTAAAAAAAATCATTAATATTACACACACAGTTTGTTTTATAGCGTTTTATAGCCCGACTTATTTGAAAACCCTTCGTTATTTTTTTAGTTTAGTTATATATTTTCCTTAGTTTTCAACCTTCAGTAGGTAAAAATTGAAACCCATTATAATCTTAATCCTCTCTGTTTTCAGGTCAACCCATTAGAGACTTAAACGGTATCTATCACACCGGTTTTCAAATAGCCCAAACGACGAACAAGAATGGGTCGAGATTGAGCTCGGCGAGGGCCTTTATTCGACCTTTTAAAAACAGAAGGAACTTAGATATATTAATGAACGCCACCGTCTCCAAGATCCTGATAAATACGACCACGAAACAGGCTTACGGGGTCGAAGTCTTGAATCGTGGCACCAAACAAGTCATTTATTCCACCAAGGAAGTAATCGTGTCTGGAGGTAATGTATCATCGAGATAAGCTTCTTAGAACGTAGGTAAACTGAAGAATAGAGGATTTATTTTTTGTTTAAGTAAAATGTTATAGGAGCTTTGTTTCAAAAGAACTTCTTTTCCACACAAAAGTTGTTAAATTCGGATGCATGAAAACTAAATTTAAAGTTTATTTTTGTTAATATAAACCTTTGTCTTTTATGTCCATTTAAAAAATCCATTTAAATTTTTGATTACCTATACTTTCCAGTTACTACTGTATGACCGAAAAAAAAAACGGCGTCAGCGATGGCTATGAAATGAAGATCGCTGTCAATTTATATGTAAATTTATATGGGAAATGTCATCGATCGTCATTTCCCAGACAATTGAACGCCATTTTTTTCGATCATACGGTACCTTCATTTCGACTACGGTTTGATATCAAAATTATTATTATATTTTTATATAAAAAATAAGATGAAACTCGACTTATATGTAGAAGTAAAATATATACTTGACAGTATACAGGGTGGTCCGAACTGTATTCCGGAAACTTCGGCAGCATATTCTGCAGATAAAAATAAGGAAAAAAGTTCGTATAAATGTATGTCCTAAAATGCTTAGTTTCGGAGATACAGGGTGTAGAAGTTTTATTTTTATTTCGATATTTTCCACATAATTTCTGGAGTAACATCAATATTTGGATGAAAATTGGTATCTGGAAGTTTTTTGATATGATAAAATTGATTTTGATGTCAATATGGGTCCTACTTGTAGAGGGCGCCATCTACATATTTTTTAACTGGTTTGAAGACTAATAACTTTTCGTCTGTATCTGTATAAAACTACTGAGTAAAAGATATACATTTACGACGTTTTTTACGTAAAAAAAGGTCTCTTGGTAAAAATCGATACGAGTAATGGTTCCCGACATATTTGGAATCTAAATTATCAATACCTGTCATCATTGACATAAATTAAACATGTTGACTAAATAGTTATTATACTGAAATCATAAATTTGAAATGTTTTTCTGCCAAATGTTCAACAGAAACTGTTTTATCATTATTTTTTCGAAAAAAAATTATGAAAATTTTAAAAAAATAAAAAGTTTGTCATTTCACTACTCAACACGTTTATTTTTTGTCAATAATGACATGTATTGACTATTTCCATTTGAAATATCTTGAGAACGGTTGCTCGTAGCGATTTTTATCAAGAGACATTTTTTACGTAAAAGATCATGAAAATGTATATTTTTTCACTCAGTAGTTTTATACAGGTATGGACAAAAAGTTATTATTCTCCAAAACAGTTAAAACACATGGAGGTGGCGCCCCCTACAAATATGAGTCATATTGACATCAAACTCAAATTTTTTATGTCAAAAAACTCCCAGACACCAAGTTTCATCAAATATTGACGCTGCTTCAGATATTATTTGGAAAAAATCAAAATAAAAATGAAATTTCTACATCCTGTATCTCCGCAACTAAGCATTTTAGGACATATATTTATAGAAATTTTTTACTTATTTTTATCTGCAGAATATGCTACCGAAGTTTCCGGAATACAGTTCCGACCACCCTGTATATTTTACTTCTTATACAGGTTTAATAAAATAAATTTTAGTGTTGTCAGAAAATTTGAAAATAGATTAAACAATAATCTATTTTAAAAACAAAATTTTCTATTATCATAATTCCGTATCCACTGCAAAGACGCTTGTGTACACTGCCTACATACCAGGTGTTTTTCAAAAGTGGCTCACCTTTATAACTTTTTTATTTTAAAAATGAATAAACGAGATTTGGTACTAAAATATATGGCATAAATCAGGATTGTACGGCGTATTCAATTGTTTTCCATCAATACCTGTTCACCGGAAATGACTACTGACAACTAATGACTACAACTTTTGATTTTTAAATGACACCCTCGATTTATTTTACTTTATTCGATAGAAAATGACACTATAAATAGAATGACATATCATATGTCAACTTTTAATATTCTCGCTACTGATTAAAAAAATCGTATCTTAAATTTCAATCTAGAAAGCCATGGATGTGTTAATAATATATGTGGGCGCCAAATATTTATTAGCCTAGGGCGCAAATATGTCTTAATCCGCTACTGGGTGGGCCACTTTTGAGAAACACTCGGTATAATGTGTAAAAATCTTAATATCACTGTACAAGATTTTAAGTTTCGAAAAGATTATTTCTACTCAAATTATTATTTCAAAAGTCAATAAGAGATATGCTTAAGAATATAATCTGATTTTTGGAATACAAAATATTTTATTTTTTGTTTTATGTTTTTATAGGTGCAGTCAATTCCCCTCAAATATTACTGTTATCTGGTATTGGTCCCAGACAAGAACTTCAGCAAGTTAAAGTGCCCGTTGTACAGGATTTACCTGGAGTAGGCAAGAATCTCCAAAATCATGTTGCCTTCTTTACAAATTTCAACATAAACGACACGAATACTGCCCCGTTAAATTGGGCCACTGCTATGGAGTACTTATTGTTCAGAGATGGTTTAATGAGTGGAACAGGTATTTTACCAGATATGCTCTTATAATATAAGGAAAAGTCGCCTATACCGTACCAACTCCTTAATCGTCCCTCTTCAATGTCTAGTTTATAATTGCATTATTTAGTAATCTTCGAGACACCTTGCTAAGTATTTTGGCTCAACAAAACATCCCTTAGTACTTCAGATCTTTTTCAAGTAGCACGAGTGCTTAAAGAAATAATACATATCAAAGATTCTTTGTACCTGTGCTCTAATATTTTGATAAGTTCTTCTGTACATACATACATACAGCCGTTACTCGCTGACGAGTATTCGACACATGATACGTGATGTTACCTGCCTACCGCACTCCGGACATTCAAAAATCTCATTGCTTTGTTGCCTCTTTATTTTTTTTTTGTTGTCGCTGTTAACTGAGTTTACAACTCTTCTCCATTGAGTTCTATTGTGAGCTGTTTTTTCCCACTCATTCTGCATGTTAATCCCCTTTAAGTTTTCGTGGAAAGTGTCCTTGTACCATTTCAGTTGTCCACCCGGCCTCCTCTTACCGTCTACAAGCTCACCGTAAAGCAGAGATTTTGGTATGCGGTTTTCTTGCATTCTGCATACGTGACCAGCCCATCTCAAGCGGGATTTTGTAACCATGACATCAATACTCTCGCAGTTAGCTTTTTCAAGGACCGATACGTTTGAGACATGATGGAACCACCGGATTCTTAAGAGTTGTCTAAGGTGTCTCTGTTGCAACTTGTTTAATGCGTTCATGTGTCGGCGGTACGGCACCCATGTTTCACTCCCATATAACATGGTGGGGATTATAATTGCTCGGTACACTGCAATTTTTGTTTTTGTACTCAAGTCATGATTGTAGAAAACCCTGTCTTTTAATTTCCAGAATGCTCTTGAGGCGCTACTAATCCTGTGCTGAATTTCAGAGTCAATATTGGCCTTTTCCGAAATCAAACTGCCAAAGTAATTGAATTCCGGCACATATTCCAATAGTTCTTCTCCAATTTTTATAGCATTGTTATGATCTTCCGGGGAATGCACATGATTTTAGTTTTTTCGATGTTTAGCTTTAGGCCCAAAGCCTCGTATGCCCAGGTATATGTGTTCAACATTTCTTGTAATTGTTGTACCGTGTTTACAACTAGGGCGCAGTCGTCAGCGTATTGAAGTTCTGTGATAAATTTTGTACGTGTTTTTGCCCTGAGTCTTTTTATGTTGAACAGACCGCCGTCATATCTGTATCTAATGTCCAATCCTCTCTCCTGCAGTTTGTTGTCCACTATAATGGAGAGCGCTGTCATGAATATGTTGAATAGGAGAGGCGCTAAGACACATCCCTGCCTAACTCCTGTATTTGTTAGGAATGGATCGCTCAGTGATCCATGATGTGACACTCTTAACTAGTTGTTGTTATGGAGGCTTTTACACACTGTAAGAAATTTGTTGGGTACTCCGAACTTCTTCATAATTGCCCAAAGCGCATCTCTGTTCACAGAGTCGAAGGTTTTTGTTAGATCGACGAATGCAACATAAAGTTTAGACTGCTGCTCTTTTACTTTTTCCGGTAGTTGATGGATGGAAAATATGGAATCGACGGTGCCGCGGTTGGTTGTAAAGTTCTTCTGTATGGCTTAAGGAAATGTAATTAACTAACCAGTACCAACTTATGCGGGCCCTTATCGATAGGACGGGAGCACAGTTCCTCCGGTTCTAGCCTTGCTTTCCCAAATAAAATGTCGCTTGCGATCCAGAGCGTCGCAGTGACATATTATGTGCTCCGCTGTTTCAGGATCTTTATCGCAGAGTCTGCAGAAAAGACTTCTTTGATATAGGTTGAGCTTGTTCAGGTAACCATATGGCCTGTAGAGAGACCTGTTGCAATCCGCACTATATTCCTGCTATATAATATAAGCATTAGCAATATTTCTGCGAATTTCGCAAGAACATCTATGTGTGCTTCATCGACTTTGAAAAAGCATTTGATCGAGTCAGACATACAGAGCTCTTTCGGCATCTGAAATTGTATAACGTAGACAACTATGACATGCGCCTTTTAGTTAACTTATACTACGATCAAACTGCTGCTGTTAGGGTCGATGAAGGAACTACAAATGACATCTCAATAAAACGAGGAGTAAGACAGGGGTGTGTTTTGTCACCGTTATTATTCAATATGTATTCGGAGAACATTTTTAACGAGGCTTTATCCGGCAGAATAGAAGGCGTTAAAATTGAGGCGAGCTCATAAATAACGTAAGGTACCCAGACGACACCGCCATTGTCGCAGAAAGCATGGAAGACTTGCAAACGTTGCTAGATAGGGTTTATGAAGCTAGTTGCAAATGGGGTATTAATATAAATATCAAGAAGACGAAATGGATATTTGTGGGTAAAATACAAATTAATCCAATCCCGATAAAAATCAACGGACACAATATTGAACAAGTACCACATTTTAGATATATAGGAAGCTGGCTAAATAGTGAAAATATATGTGACGAAAAAGCAAGAATTGAAATGGCACGTAGAACATTCAAAAAATGGAATACCACGCTCACTAATAGAAACCTGTCACTGCAAACCCCATTGCGAACACTACGTTGTTACATATGGTCCACTCTTCTTTACAGATGCGAGACATGGACGCTAAAAGTCGAGAATATAAATAAAATAGAAGCCTTTGAAATGTGGTGCTACCGGAGGATTCTTAAAATTTCTTGGATCGAACATACAAGCAACAAGGAAGTTCTTGGACAGCTGAACAAAGATCAGGAACTGTTAACCACCATCAAGGCCAGAAAGGTGAGCTATTTCGGACATATAATGCGTGGCACCAAATATTATATTCCTCGTTTGATTATTCAAGGAAAAGTCGAAGGTAGAAGATGGGTAGGTCGAAAGAAACTGTCATGGTTCAGAAATATACGGAACTGGACCTCTCTGAGGGTGAAGAGGCTGTTTCATGCAGCAGAAGATAGATGACTCTTCCACGAAATAGTCATGGAGATCGCCTGAAGACAGGCACGGCACCACAAGAAGAAGAAGATTAGCAATTCCTTTGTGGTTTTAGAGCTGGGTCCTTGGATAAAGGCCTTGCTATACCTGTGCTCCTGTCTGGTTCTCCAGTGGACATTCTGCATTTTCCTGGTGCAGCTACATTCTGCATGGTTAAACATCAGTTTACTTCGTAAATGACTGATAAATAATTTATTTTGTTATTTTTAATTATGTTGGCTAAATATTACCACTGTATGGTTGCTCAGTTTGTACCGATACAATTTAGGAAACTAGCAAGTTTAATGGATGAATCTTACGAAAGAGCTATAAGGAGATAAAAATAATAGTTCGGAAAATGAGTAGATGATATTTATTCAATTAAAATATCTTACATAACTTAAATTTACTATTAATTATTTTTAGGTGTTTCGGAAGTGACCGGCTTCATTAACTCAAGATACAACGATCCCAATCTGGACCATCCGGATCTTCAGTTTTTCTTCGGTGGCTTCTTAGCCAACTGTGCCAGAACGGGAATGGTCGGCGAGAGGGTCGATAACGGCACCCGCCAAATTCAAATTATCCCGACAGTCTTGCATCCCAAGTCCAGAGGCGAGATAAGATTGAAAGATAATAATCCGGCAAGCCATCCCTTGATTTACGCTAATTACTTCACGCAACCGGACGACGTAAAGGTGATGGTGGAAGGAATAAGATTCGCTTTGAGATTGGCTGAGACGAAAGGTAATTTGAATCAATATGCTAAAATTGTATTAGAATAAATAATATGTATAATAATAAAAGACAGAAATAAACTTAGTAAATTCATGTGGTTTTTCTAAAATATATTTAGCGAATTCTCGTATACAGGGTGTTTTATGAGAGTGTGAAAATTTGGTTAAGAATCTTTTTTACCGCAAATTTACAATTTTTAAAAAATCGAAATTTTTACCAAGTACGACTAATCTGTATTGAAATTAGAAAAAAACAATTTGATCGGCTTTTATTTTTTTTTGTTTTAAGGAAAATACGACGTTTTTTCGAAAAATATACATTTTTAGTCATACGTATGGTCCTAAATGGTACAAAAAGCTTTGTACATTCTGCATATGTAAAAAAAATAATGATATAGAGTGTATCTAAAAGCAGATAACTAACATAAGTTATAAAAAACTTCAACATCAGAATAATATTTTTATTTATAAAATAAGTAGATAAATTATAATAAAACTTAAGTTTATTTAATATTAAATATATTTTTTGAACACCCTGTATACATCGGTCCAAAGTTGTGTACAGCTAGTTTAAGATACACGCTATATCAATATATTGTGGGCCTATGCAAAATGTACAATGCCTTTTGTACCATTTAGGACTATTGTTTACAGTCCCGCAATTTTGCGGATCCGCGGGATTCATGGCTTTAATCCCGTGGGTTTGCGGGATTGAGGTTTTTGTGCGGGATTGCATTTCCTAGCTGAGATGTACTGATTTTACACACACATATTATTTATTTTATATTATTTTATTGCATTTGATTTTCCATATTCAATGTTTTACCCCACGTCATTGTTAAGTTTGAAAGTATTGATAATCTTTCATCATTGTAACAATGAATAGATTAAATATTTAAAAAAACAGAGCCGGACTTCAAATTAGTTTAAATAAATTATTGTGTTCAAATTTCAGAAAAAAAATTAAGTGTAGCATATCATTGTACTCAGGCGAGCGAGTTCTTTCATAACCTGAAATAAAAAATTCAGGTCCGTATTTAAAAAAAATAAGTTGGCCTCCCTTTCTCACAATTTATCAGCTAAATTAAAAATATAAAAATACTATCAGATAGCCCCAATAAAGAATGTGTAATTGGTTTTTTGATTTTCTAAAAAGCACGACAGGAAAAGATAAAATTGATTTTCAAAAAAAATCTGTTTTTTTTTTCAAAAAACTCAGCAATTCTTTGAAATTTTTAAAACTTTTTTGATGGCATCATGGTGAACATCCCAAGGCGGCACTTTGCCCCAATTTAGCCATCTTCGTATCTATTACGGTTACCGAGATACCAATGCTCGTGCCTCGAATTTGTAGCACCCTTTATAAAAGTATGTTCGGATGATAACATTAAATGACAATTTGTGTATCTGGTTAAAATTTGCCAAGATTCCGAATGGGTTCACTAGATAAAAATCTAAAAAAGTTTACTTATTTTCCCAGTCATAAATATTTGACATTTATTAAAGTAAATCATGTTATTAATGGAAATAAGAATCTGGCACATCCCATGTAGAGGAAAGTCAGTTTGGCTAAAAAATTGCGGATGCAAAAATTTCACAAGATTTTGAATTCCGTAACTATTATTTTTCCATGCTTAAAATTTAACGTATCATTTGATACTATCACAAACTATAATTAAAAGCAAGTCTGGCTGATTTACGAAATTGTCATATGAGTCTGGCGACATCTTAAAAATTGCAAATATTACAAAATTTTTGCTCTTATTTGCCCTGATTTGAAAATTTTTAATATATAATTGATATATAAATAATACTATAATTATTATTCATTCTTAGCTCCATCTACGGTGACGTGGATGAAGCAAACAAATACTATAATAATTCCAAATTAGGCCAGATTATATTTACAATTGTAATTATAATATAAATGACAAGTTTTTAAGAGTGCGAAAATAAGGGCAATGGTCACAATAATTTGTATCCAGTTTTTCACCTGTCAGACATATTATCCATTCGCACAGATTAGTGAAACCATTTCTTTTCTTAACTGCACAACATCTCTCACTAATAGAACTGTTTTTATCGCTGGTGAAAAAAGTGCAGAATATTTGTACTTTCTAACGCATTTGCTTCTTCAGCCCATTGGAAAACCCCCCTTACATATACATATATGAAATTTGCACATAGAACAACATACCGAATAATACTCAGGTGTTTGCTGGCTGGGTAAATAAGTAGCGAAAATGTTCACTGCCTACTGGACTAAAAACAAAACACAAACAAAGAAAAAATCATTTAAAATATCTAAATATACAGGTATTCAAGAACAGTATCTAAGTTTTCAATCAAACTATTCTGACGCAACTAAAGAGAGGAATAGTTAAAACTTATGTCAGTGATCAACTCTTAATTCTGAATTATACAGGGTGGCCCATCGGAAACGTTCCGCAAGGCATAACGGCCAGGGTATTATTTTTTTCACAAAATCCAAAAACTCGTCAATTTTGTTTGTGAGGGGGACAACTTTTGCCCCAAAAATGATTGCAAAATCTTCAACCCTCTGAGCGGGGGTGTCATCCCCCAACTTTTCTCAAATGAGCTTTCTATTCTCTATATTTTCCCGCCTCGTTTTTGAAAATCGGTCGAGGCACTGAGAAAATACGAAGGATTGAAATTTGAAAAGTTTATTTAAACATATTTATCAGAGTAAATGATAAGGATAAATTCCTTCGACCAATTTGAGTTTTTTTCTTATTATTTCTAGATGTTTACGCATTGACGGGGACAACTTTTGCCCCAAAAATGATTGCAAAATCTTCAACCCTCTGAGCGGGGGTGTCATCCCCCAACTTTTCTCAAATGAGCTTTCTATTCTCTATATTTTCCCGCCTCGTTTTTGAAAATCGATCGAGGCACTGAGAAAATATGAAGGATTGAAATTTGAAAAGTTTATTTAAACATTTATCAGAGTAAATGATAAGGATAAATTCCTTCGACCAATTTGAGTTTTTTTCTTATTATTTCTAGATGTTTACGCATTTGTTCACTTCCCACAAGGTTGAACGATCAGGTGCGGTAGTTGCTAGATAGATGTTCTGTGACTTGTGCGTTGAAGTTCTTCTCAATATCGTTAAACTGACCCACAATAGAATTTCCAAAAATACCAGCCCACACGTTCAATTTCTGAGGGTTTTGTGTATTCACCTCGTGAAAAACCCTGGGGTTGTCCTCAGCCCAGTACCGACAGTTGTGCCGATTAACTACACCGTTCAAAAAGAAACTCATCCGAAAAACACACATTAAATAGGAAATTATTATCATTCGCCACTCGTTCACTCATAGTTTCACAAAATTGCAAGCGACGATCAAAATCGTCTTCGTTAATTTTTTGTACTAACTGAATTTTGTACGGGTGGAACTTGTGTTTTTTTAATATCCTGTGAACACTTGTACGATTCACATTTCATTGCGGTATTACTTGACCCCCTTTCCATTTGAAAAAAAATGGGGGATGACACCCCCGCTTAGAGGGTTGAAGATTTTGCAATTATTCTTGGGGCAAAAGTTGTCCCCGTCACAAACAAAATTGACGTGTTTTTCAATTTTCTGAAAAAAAATTACCCTGGCCGTTATGCCTTGCGGAACGTTTTCGATGGGCCACCCTGTATAATATTTATTAAAACGGATTTGTTTCAAAATAGTTATATATTCTCAAAAGTCTTTCTTTTTATATCAACCATCTTAGTATAGAAATTATGTATTTTTTAAATTTCCTGTGATTAATTCTTCATAATTTTATATCATTGGTTCATAGGTATCGCAACTGGTTTTGTCTAAATAATTTAGTTCGTCTTTTCATGACCTAATCAATATAGAAAAACTTTTCCATTTAACCTTTCAACTTTCATATTTAATAATTTACTACGTATACAAAAATATGTCTGCTTATATTGTGTTTATGAACAACATTATGATTTATGAATAATTAATATGTTTATTTTAAGGAACTTATTATTAATTAATTAATTTAGAATTTTCTTAATAGCCATTTAATTCACACCAGCTTCAGTTACTATATTATATCAAAAGACCAGTTCTAAAAAAAGTCCCATCTTGATTCTGTACAGTTCACTATTGAGAACTAGGAATGAAATAGTAGTTTTTTTTAATAATATGAACATTTATTAAATAAAATACATGGCTATAATGTTCTGAAAATGTCTAAAACACATAATCAAAATATCTGATTCGTAAAAAAAATGAGTTGAAAAATCCTCATTACAGCTCATTACTTGATTTTAAATAAATAATTACATTACTATAAACAGTTTAAAGTAGTTTTAGTCAAATCAGATTTCAAGCAATTAAAGCCTTTTCTACACGAAAAAATTTACAACAATATTTTTGTACAGGGTAAGTCTTAAATAAGTGCAAATATTTTCAGGGTTGTTAAATCTCGATAAAAGAAACATAATATATAACTCCAAACCTTTTTCAGTTATTTTACTTCAAAAACACAAGACAAAAGTTTAGTGGCAATATACTCAAAATATGTCAGTAGAAATTAAGGCTTAATTTAAAGTAATGAATTTATTACAAGAATTATACAGAGTAAACTACAAACAGTTTTCAATTTAGAAAAAATAATATAACTAACAATAATACTGTTATTTAATCAACACAACAAATATTTCACATTCATACTTTATTTACATACCGTATGATCGAAAAAATCAGCGTCCAACTGGCTTGGAAATGAATATCGATGACATTCCCCATACAAAATCACAGCGATCTTCATTTTCATCTTCATCTCCTGATGCATTTTTTTTCGATCGCATGGCACTTACGTTTTCGATTTTTAAAGATTAAATAAAACCTCGTCCTACTCGTGTTGGTTTTGGATAAAATTCTAAAACTAATTTATTGGTAAACTAGTTGTTGTCAAATGATAAATTATGAATCATAACACAACCTTTTTTTTTAATGTAAGTGTTTAATCTTATTTTAAATTTCGATAGCACTTCGAAGATATGGATTCCAATTAGATAAGACCCCAGTTCAGGGATGCGAAAGCATCACCTTTGGGTCTGACAGCTACTGGGAATGTGCCATGAAACGTCAAACAGGGCCAGAAAACCATCAAGCTGGTAGTTGCAAGATGGGTCCCAAGGAGGATCCTTTGGCTGTGGTGAATCACGAATTAAGGGTAAATTATATTTAACTTTTTACTAATTCGAGATAATACAAACTTAATTTTTATTGTATCTTTAGTGTTATCTAATTGTAGAACGATGCAAAGAATTTTTAGTACATATTAAGTAACAGTAATTCAGCAATTCGCGTATAATACATTCTTTCCAGTTAGGCTTCCCATTTCGTTAAACGGCATTAAACAAATATTCTTCTTCTTCTTCTTGTTTCTCAGTGACTACGCGACTTGCGACGGCCTATCAAAAATACTAAAAAACTAAAAATTACAGGAGAATAAAATCCATTTTTTAGTAAAAATAACAAACTACACCTATGTCACATACTATTACTATTGCCATGACTCGCCGACGAGTATTTGACACGCATCATAAGATGGTCACGCAAAGCGCCCTCTTTCATGAGCTTTCCGGTGACTAAAAAGCTCTATACGTGATTTTATCACTCTTTCCCACTCCGGACATTTAAACATCTCATTACTTTGTTGCCTCTTTACTTTTTGGTTGTCGTTCTTCTCCATTTCGTTATTGTGCGCTGCTTATAACCACTGATGTTGCATGCTTATCCCCTTTAAATTTTCGTGGAACAACTGTACCTTTTAAGTTGTCCACCCGATTTGCTCTTACCTTCTACGAGCTCACCGTAAAGAAGAGATTTTAATAGGCGATTTTCTTGCATCATGCATGCGTGACCAGCCCATCTTAAGCGGGATTTAGTAATCATGACTTCAACGCCCCCGAAGCAGCTAGCTTTTTCAAGGACCGATACGTTTGAGACATGGTGGAACCTGTTGATTCTTAACAGTTGTCCAAAGTGTCTAACATCACAAAAACTGCGCAGTAAAAGAATCTATGACTGATCTTACCCTTACCTAGTGGAGGTAATCAATTTTCTTCAAGGCATGTAAGGTTTTACCTGAACCACCAACAAGTCAAATAAAAATAATCAAAATCACAAAGTTAAGAAAAATGTTGTAGTAACAAGTAACAACTCAGGGTCGTTCAACAAAGTTGAAGAGGTAATATTTTGACCAACTCTATAACAAAGAATTTAAATGAAGTAAAGGAACTTACGTTGTGTTAAAAATATTTTTATTCTGATCACCTCAGATGCGCCCGACAGAAATAATATTTTGGAAGATTTGTGGAGAATAGGTTATGTAAATCAAACGCCAAATCGTTTCCGAATGCAGTTTCTGTGTGTGACCTCTACTCTATGTGCCTTTGTTTGTGATATAATCTTCCTTTCAGCACTTCATTTATTTATCTAATAAATAATAATAATAATATTTTACAGTAACAGGTTACTTTCATAGAAGTTAGTTATATTAAAATTTACCCACTATACATTTAATCAGATAAGAATCAGTGGCCTTGATATGGTTTAGAGCCAGTAAACATCTTGGTCACTCTCAAATTGAGCTAGCGATTGCCTTGTAGCAGAGCCGTCATACAGAGTGCTGTACTCTGCCTGGAATGCACAAGTAAAAGAGCACGGTAGAGAAAACCTTGATCACTATTTCAAAGAATCCAACTATGCTGTTCTGAACTGAAATAAAAGAGAAATAATAATAATACAAAACTGTACTCATACTAGCCTGTGTGTGTGTACTTATTCTGAGTGTCTTAAGGTTGCTAAGTTCATACATTCACAACATGCCACATTTATTACATTCAAAACGGAATAAGTTTTATTAGTTTAACGGGTCCGTAGGTAGTAATGCCCAGGTTGCGAAACTAGAAGCTAGTAGTGAAGTTGAAGGTTTGGTGCAAATATCTTTAGGTTATAAGTTATTCTATTTATTGTTTATTGTATTTAGATTACTTTTAAACTTAAATTATTTACAGCTTAAATCGGGGGGAATCCATTAAATACATACACATGTTATATAATTTTATCATTGTCACATCAAATAAATAAGGAAAAGTTTTAGAACAGATTATTACAACAAGAAAACAAAATAATATGCTTCAGTTAACACTAGTTAAATAAGAAACATTTACTTTACCTTTAATAACTTTCTTTGTCAAAAAACTTACAAACCGAAATACATCAACGCGTCTGGAATGGTCGCCTAAAAGTTCAGACGCGTGGCAAACGACCCCGCGGACCCCGCGTGGCGGTGGGACCCCTGGTAAATTGGGGGCCCCAGCACCTATCGAAAACAATTATCAAACAAACCGAAAACTGAAATTACATTTAGGCACACAATCCTTTTTTCGGCAATAATTAGGCTGATATAAAACAATTATTTTACACTACATTATTTTCTACAGGTATAATAATAATAATAATTATTGTACGGGTTAATGTGGAATTTGTTTTAGTTGTAAATATGTTTAGGCGACACAACACACGGCGATTATCATGTTTTCACGGCGTTTTTGATTAAAAGTATCATATCGGTAGACTTTTTCCATAAGCACACTTATTTTAAATGACTCTGTGAGCAATATTAGCGAAATAAGAATTTTTTTGACACGGTTCAGAGTCATTATATACTTGTCAGTGAGAGTCTACCCCGTTGGCAAAGCCTAAACTGCGAAATAAAAATAGTAAGACTGTTGGTTTAACTTTTAAAAAAATTATGTCCAACTAGATGGTCGTCAAGAGCCGAAAGCATACTATCGATAAAAACTAATTTTTTGTCCGTCGTCAAGCGTCTATCGAATTTAACGTTAATACTGAAAACCCGTACTGATAGAGATGAGGCCAAGATGTTACAAAATAAAATAGAAAATTTCAAATTCCTAATCAAACAAAACCAAACTAAATTTCCAAGGTACAATATTGGAAAATACTAACTTGCTTTCAAAATGCTTACAAAAAAATGATATTGAAATAGGACTGGCCACAGATCTAATATCAGGAGTTCTTGTTAAAATAGAAAATCTTAGAGACGATTTTGAAAGTGTGTATGAGCTATCAATTTCAATTGTGAAATCTTGGAATATTGAACCTCAGTTAAAAAACAAAGGCGTTCGTAGAGTCAAACCTTTTTTTTTGATGAAATAGCAGCTGATGAGGAATTGAAAAAAAAATCCTAAAAGTCGTTTAAAAGTCACAATTTTTTATGCTTTTTTGGATATAATAATAACTAAGCTTAGAATCAGGTGTGACGCATTTCAAAATATTTATTCAAAATTTGAAATTTTAAACCCACAAACATTATTGTTAAAATCCCAGGAATCTGATATCTTAGCTAATGCCAATGTATTAGTAGACAAATATCCTAACGACCTAACACAAAATCTAGCATCGGAGCTAATTCAAGTAAAAAATTTACTTTATGAAAAAATAAAACATTTTCACAGTATCAGAGAGTTTTCTGATTTTATTTTTGAAAAAACCCAATTACTGATTAGCAGTATACCTGAGATTTGCACTGTATTCTAGTTGTTTCTGGTTCTCCCTGTAACATCCGCTGAACCAGAAAGAAGTTTTTCTAAGCTGAAAATAATAAAGAGTTTTATGAGGTCTACTTGTCCCAAAATAGCCTAAGCTCACTGGCCATAATATCAGTTGAGAATGATCGAGGAAAAGAGGTAGATTTGAACAGACAAGTTCCTTTTAATAAGGTCGAAGAAAAAGGAATAGACTTTCTAATATACCATAGGGACTTCATAAATATTTAAAATTGCTTGTTCACTTTTGTGTTTTAATTAAATTTATTGATTAGTAGTTAAATGTTGAGTTGTTTGTTTTTCTAATAAAACTTTGATTAATTAGAAGCATAAATGCTTGTTTTCTAGTTTAAGTATTTTAAGAGTACTATAATAATAAATAAATAAATGTTGAAACAATTATCAAAATATAAAAAAAATATCACATTGTGGTTCTTGTTAAAAAATATGTTTCAAGCAGATATCACAATAATGATGTATTTGAAGGAATTTTTGAGTATACTTAGGGGCCCCCCTAACAAATTTTGCGGGAGGGCCCCGCGAGAATTTGACACGCTACCACAAAATTTGTGACGCTACTGTAAAAGATATTATTTAACAACTATTATCTCTGTTCGTCTCGTCTTCTGATTTTCTTTTCCCTAGTTTGTGAATAATAATTTGAAAAATCAATAATTTTATTTATGTATACAGAGTGTACACTACATTATTTTCTGAAATATAACTGAATGTTTTGAATTTAAAGAAATATGTCCATTTTTAAATAGGCGGTTTGAATGTATAACTCCAAATTTTAATTAGAAATTAAATACAACTTATAATTCTCCTTTGAGAATTCATGTTGTTTGACGTGACCCCCACCCTCTATTTTAATTATTTTTCTTAGTTGAGTAATGAAATGTTGCTTTTATATATTACAGGTTCATGGAATCGATAGACTACGTGTCATTGACACGAGCATAATGCCAAAAGTTACAACAGGTAACACCAACGCTCCAGCTATAATGATCGGCGAAAAAGGGGCCGATTTAATAAAGGGAAGATGGCTGACACCTGATGCTGGTTACTTCTTTTCCAATCGCCCTCCAAATCACAGGATCAGCAGACAATGGAACGGATTCCTTTGGAAAAGATAGTTTAAAAGACCGGCTATAGATAATGCATCCTTTTATTCCTTTAAGATTAGTGCAAAAACTACAGATTAAGTTTTAAAAAAACTAATTTATGATTTTCTAACTTAGATTAAACATACTAAAAGATACAGCAAACCGGGTATTCAAACACCTGCACGAAAAACGGATGCCTTAAATTTCTCATGTATTTTAAAGTTTTGTTACATTATTTGTAAGCAATTTGTAGCTAAATTATTTGACTTTCTAGTATCTTTTTCTAATTTTTTATCTGTCAATTATAAGAAGGAAAAAAATATTGATATTTTAGTGAAAGTTTGAAACATCCTGTGGAGGCCGTTAACAAATCAAGAAATTTAAAAATCGTTTTAACATCTAGATGTATCTTGTTTTTTTATTCATCTGATTAGCTTAATTTTTTCTGGAGATATTCGCTTTTGAAGAAGACACTAACATTTTTTCGTATTTTTTACATTAAAACCATACCTTTGCTTTTGGTCCTAATCGATAGACAACATAATAATAGTTATGATTTATGTATGTCACTGTCGTTGAAAAACCTTATTGTTATTGTTTGTTGGGCAGTTACTCCAGCAGATATGGTTTTAAGTCCAAAAGTTGATCTCTACCATAATCAATTAAAGCAACAATTGCTGTCCTCCATGCGCGAATTTCGAGTTCCCGGGCTTCACGCCCTGGGGCTACTCGAGAACGGTTGTGAAAGGAGCGGTGCGCGATAGCCTGGTGCCTCCATATGGCGCGGAACAGTTCTGGGGCTTTATGACTCAATTGAATGGAGTGAGAGTATCGCGTTCTTGAACACTTCAGAGCTGCTCAACTGCGTGAAAGGAGGACAGCAAATATCCGATACTTCAGTAAAGGGAAATTAAAACAACTTTCGTTGCTCGTCATCAATGACACCATGCGTCTTATGGGGTTTGCTTAAAACCATCAACCATCTCTACTAGAGTAAACGTCAATAAACAATAATAATATGACTTTTCAATGAGAGTGACATTACAACAATAAACACTATTTTATAATTACTGCGTTAAAATCGTTAAAAATAACTAACTAAAACTAAAAGTGCGTTAAAAATCGTTACTGTCTTATTTAAAAGCGAAAATCTCTAATGAAAATAAAGCTATTGAGGCGAGTTAAAAAACAAACTATGGAGAAAAGACGTAACTAGATGATAAAATAATTTTTAAATTCCTTGCTTTTTTAACACATTCTACAGGGAGGGGTTTCAAACTTTCACCAAACAACAATTAATCTATCAACATTTTGTTTTCCCTCGTATAATTGAGAGATGCAAATTTTCATTTTTAATTTATAAAAAGATACTAAAAAGTTAAATAACTTAGCTACAAATTGCTTAAAAAATCGGTCCATTAGAACAAAATATATTAAACTTTAAAATATATCAAACTTTTAAGGCTTTTCGTTAGGGAGAGTGTAGGTATACTGTATATATTTTTTTCTATATTTAATCTAAGTTTCCTACTATTAGTAGTAAATATTTATTCACTGGAGGTGAAATCAGTTGCAGCACAGTACAAGTAGATTTTAGTATTACTAATTAAAGTGCTCATTTGATTCGTTTAGAAAATACTAAGCCATTTTGTATCTTTTTCATCTTTCGTGTGCACATTGTAAAAATTTCTAACCTAAGGTAAGTTTAAATTCGATAATCAAAAAGTAAAAGCCAGTTATTAAGGTTACATATTGTGCTAAATTACAAAAAGGTACATTTTACCTAGAAGTAGATAAAATAATTTTGTAAATATTTAAATTATATATTTATTGTAATTGTCTAGATAATATACATTTGTATTAGGTACGTTTTTGTCCGTGCGGACTACAGGGATTTATTAAAGGTATCATGTATAGATTTAAATTACAAACTTGAAATAATAGCCATGAAATTAATTACTTGAGTTTCTTTTCCTATCAAAGGTGGTAATGAATTCCTGTCAAATATGATAGTTCTTAATGTCAATGTTGCTTCTGCAAATTTCTGTTGCTTCTGCGAATTTCTCACCTTTAGAGTTTTAGAATTAAATTGCATTAAATTACGCTCATCCTATTGTTAATTAAAACTTAATTTTTACGTATATTTATGAATAGGAGAATGCACTTTTAACAGGGTGCCTATCAAAAAGTTGCCGCAACTAGTAATAATTAATAATAATAATAAGATGAAGAAAATAGAAAATGATGTGTTGCTCATAGATTTTGCGGTGACAAACAACAATAACTTAACACAAACATACAGAGGGAAGATTACCAAATACACACAGATGCAAAGAAACGCAACGGAGAAAATTTTGGTCAAATTTAAAGTGTTATATTTTTGTTATTTTTAGCCCTATTTTTATGAATTTTTTAGCAAGCTGTATATAATTATATCAACTTTAATTCTTGTACTCAGTTTTTTTATAAACTTTAGCATTTGGCATATTATACAGGGTTACTCGAGGGGTTGTTTTTTTACCCAAACTTTAAAACACCCTGTGCAATAATTTCGCGTGTCATTTTTACTAAATTACAATTTTACGATCAGAACCATGTCTCCTGAGCATTTTGTTTTTTGGATCATGTCAATACATACTTTGGTTAATTTTTCAGAGCGTAATGAACTTGCCACCAACAATTTCCAATTTTTTTCAATTATCATTTATTTTTGAAGTTATTTTTGAATATGACAAGACGGCTTTGGTGATTATTGTGAACTATACACTACTATGAACTGCCCATCATGTTCGACGTTTGGGAAATGCTTAGCAAAAGGGTTAAAGGTCGCGAAACGTTACCAGCTTCATTAAATGAACTTTACTTGGTTCTTAAAAAAGAATTGGAAAACATAAGGCAATATGATATATGCAGCCTCAATGACAGTATGAACGGACATACATATACAGGCAGTTATAGCAACCAAGGGAGGTAATACAAAGTATTAGGGTATATTTTACAATTTTTGTTTTCTATTTGGGTACTTGGGTATTACAGATTGTTTCTTTAATATCCTTAGATTTGTTATCGTTATTAATGTTTATTAAAACCCGGACTGTATCGTTAGCTTTTAACGTTTTTAATTTAGTATAGAGTATCTAATGCAGCGCAATATGATGTTGCGACAATAGTCACCAAAACCATCCCGTCATATTAAAAAATTACATCAAAAAGATAACTGAAAAATTGCAAATTTATCGTGATCAATTCATTTTGCTCTTAAAAATTAACCAAAGCATTTATTGACATGAATCAAAAAACAAAATGTTTTGGACTCATGGTTTTGACCGTAAAATTATATTTTAGGAAAATTTACACACGAAATTATTGCACAGGGTGTTTTAAATTTAAGGTAAAAAAACAACCCCTCGATTAACCCTGTATAATATGCCAAATATTAAAGATTATAAAAAAACTGAGTTTACGAATTAAAGTTGTTATAATTATATACAGTTTGCTAAAAAATTAATGAAAATAGGGCTAAAAATAACAAAAATATAACACTTTAAATTTGACCAAAAATTTCTCCGTTGCGTTTTTTTGCATCTGAGTGTATATTGATTTATGCTTTGAAATTAAGGATATGTGGAAATACGATAACATCCATTAGTACTATCGAATATGGGTGTAATACCAAAAACACTAATTGAATCGCTGATGACAATAGACTTAGAACCATACCAGTACCAACTTATGCAAAACTCTGTAATCCTTAACACCTGCCATACAACAAGGCGATTTCTATACATGTAACTTAACCGGGAACGTTTCTAAGCCAGAAAAGTTATCACCATCATGGTTGAGACGAGTCACTCCTCCAACCACGAGAAACCAACGGATGTAGTTGAGATAAAACGAAATAATAATAATAATCTTCAACAAAATGTGGATAGTAGATGTAGCTTGTGTGATGGGCCAGAGGAACACGTTAGTCATATCTGTGGTCATATCATCCCTGGCTGTACAAACTTGGCCGCTACTGAGTACACTCATAGGCATAGTAAAGTAGCTGGCTATATGCATTGGAACATCTGTAAAGCATTCGGATTGGAAGTTTGTGCGAAATACTACGAGCATATTCCTGAAACGATTACAAACATCAAAAACACAATGAAGTAACAATAATGTGGGATTTGCCCATCATAACAGATAGACAAATAAATGCGAACAGACCAGACATCGTGGTACATGACAAAAAGAATAAAACTTATAAATATATTAGTACCAGATATTTACAGCCTAAAACTAAAAGAAAACGAGAAGATAATGAAAGATAAGAACCTGGAAATAGAAATCAGCAGAATGTGGAATGCAAAGTCTTATACTATACCGGTTATTGTGGGCGCTTTGGGAACCATATCCAAAGGAGCAGAACTACATCTGAACCGCATCCCAGGAAAATCATCTATCCAAGAAGCACAAAAGATCACGTTGCTCAGCACGGCTCACGTCCTTCGCAAAGTGTTGAACTAAGTTGCTTTGATTCCAGGCCGAAAACTGAACTTCGTCAATAATTACCGGAGAACTTCGCCATCTCAGTGGAATATGTAAAAGTGTAAAATAATAATAACTTTTAACTAAATTTTTTAGACGACATTACGGTCAAAAAATGTTTTGATCATTTATGTGTCAAATTAAAGCTATTTTTATTCTGTGCATGATCTTAAAAGAGTTCCTATCAAAACTTGTCCTAAATAGGGGTTGCCACAGTTTTTACTGCGGGGTCCGGCAACAGCGCGTCGGGCATCTGTAATTCCTATAATAAAAAACTTTTTCCTATAATAAAAAACAAATTTTGTATAAGTGCTAACCTAAAGCATGTGTTAGGATGTATTTCAGGAAAATATTTTAACTTCTACAAGATAGCTCAAAAAAATGTGAGTGGATCAAAAAGGAAGAAGAAAAGGAGAACAACATTCCTAAGTTTTTTATTACAGGAGCCTATTTATTTATTAGAATGTATTTTCTTTCCACTAGTTCATTGTACATTACTTTAGTTTTAGCTATTTTCAGACCCACTTTATTGCTGGCTGTATTTAGTTTATCAATTTGGGCTTATAGTTCATCAGGATTATTGGCAATTAGGACTATGCCATCAGCAAACCTTAGATGGTTAATACCAGTTAATACCGTATGATGAAAAAAAAACGGCGTCCAGTTGGCTTGGAAATGACGATCGATCACATTCCCCATATAATTTTACATAATATAAAAAATGACAGCGATCTTCTTTTCATAGCCATCACTGACGCCGTTTTTTTTTTCGATCGTACGGTATATTCTCCATCAATTTTTAATCGTTTGTTAGTCCAGTCCAGTTGACGCAAGATTTCTTCTAATGTTACTGTAAACAGTTTTGGGGATATCGCGTCTCCCTGTCGTACTCCTTTGCCAGTTGGGAACCTACCGTATAATCGAAAAAAAATGGCGTCAATTTTTTTTAACTAGCTACACCGACCGTTTAAAAACAATAATTATATACAATATAAAAATAAATTACAACCTTCTTTAGGCCAACTGGCTAAAGACAATAGGCCTCACAGGTCGCAGTGTTTCCGGCAGAGGACGGCCCCTTGTTATTGAAAAAAAAACTAGCCAACTAGCAGTTAGCGCCATTAGTTATAAAGTAAAGAAGAGTAATAATGTAAGAGTAGTAACGTCACGTCTAGTGGTTGACCTCGCCAAAATTATCATTCATTGTCCACATTCTGCTGATTCCCCAGCCATTTTATTTTCGATTTTAAGGTATTATCTCTAATTTAAGTTAAGTATTCTAATTTTAATATAAAAGCTTCAATATTACAAGAAAATTTTCATACCTCTTCTTAGTCACGTTTAAAGTATGTCTACAATGATAAAAACATAATTGTTACTGATATAATGTCATTCCCATGGAAACTTTTAGGGTTTAAAGGTTTGACTCAATAACAGATGTTATTTTCTTACACCCCACGTTTACTTATTTATAATAATAGTTAACCAAACATTGATTGTATAAAATACCACGAATCATTGTTTATAAATATATATATTTTGACCTCTACTATCTTAAAAGAGTCATAATTGGCAAAATTTGATATAATGTATATAAAATCTTGCTAATTTATTGTAAAAAATGTATAAAAATAAGACTTTTAACTTACATATCAATTAAAGAAAATAAGATATGTTATGACTTCTACTTTTAATATTATTCCTTCACTTAAATTAAACCAATTGCGTCTTTTTTAATCTACTAGCCGTTAAAAGACAATAGATATTACGCAGATTGTTTTTATTTTTAAAGATGAAATTTTCTAATATGGATATTTTCTATTTCAATTAAAATTTATACTTAAACTACTAAAAAGCATCTATAATTATACTTTCCTATTCGAGAGATATTAAATTGAAAACAATATGTTCATATTTAAAGGTCAACATAAGAAAATGCAGTTATCAGTTGTTTTTCTATGTGTTTACTAATCAAAATTGCAAAACATAAATTTAACAGTCCTGATTAACTATAAAAGTTCTGATAATTTGAGTTTTTTTAGCATTACATCTTTTTGCAATCAAATTGTTTGTTCAACTTTTTGAAATATCTTAAACAATCAAATTTATATTTATAATTTAATTTATAAATTTTATTAGAAATTTCTCAGAGAAATAGATGCCTGATACTGTTGCAGGACACTGTATATAAAGGGTCGCTTTTATGTTTTATGTATGGAAACGGTCGATTATTAGGTAAAATATAGGAGGTACCGTAAAAAGTTAAATACAAAAGTTATATGATTTTTAAATATCTATTAGCGAGTAATAAATTTAAGTATACATGGTCGTTCATAAAGTCATGGCACATCAAAGTTTCATTCTAATAAATTTATATTATTACATATTTCAATTCTTCCTTCAATTCTAAGCAAAAAATCGAAA